CGAGAGTATCACGGGAAAGGCTTCTCTCCCAGTGCCGTAGTAAGGAAAATAATTGACGGTGACATTTCTCCCTTCGTTGTCTTCCTTCTCTTTCGTGCAGTTACTGCCTCGGTAAGGCGCAGCAGGTATACAGCGCCGAGAAACGCGTATGCGCGAACGCACATGCACACACGGCCGTGGCAGTGACAACTCCCTGTTTCCTGCCAAAGGGCGTCGTCCCCACCCGCACCGCCCGAGGCATAGGCAAAGCAGCAGAAAAAAAAAACAAAAAAAAACAAACAAACATCAATCAAAGCGCATATGACGACAGTTTGGTCCTCTTTCCGTGCCGCCAGAGAATCTTTCTCAACTCCGCTCTTCCTCTTCCTTCGTTATTTCCTTCCTCCTTTCTTCATTGCTTTCTTTGTTTTATTGCTCCTTCCGTAGCCTCTCCCATCCGAGTGAAAGTACGAGGTGCGGAGGAGCAACTTTCCTCCCCCGTTTTTGTTTCCCCTTCGTTTGTTCTTCAAATCCCCAAGAATGACTTCGGTCCCGTGGAGTGTCATCGACCCTCTCTTCATTTACTTTCATCAGCCTCACTCACGCCCTTCTTCGCGCTACAAGGGCGCGGCAAGCCTGTTTGTGCTTGTGGGGGTGAGGAGTAACGGCTGAAGGGTTGAATTTGTACGCAATATATATATTTATATGTATTCCAACATCCATGCTGTCGCCGTTGCAGAGAGACTGCTTCCTGCAAGAATGCATCCGGGCAACGTAGACCTCTTGCGTAGAGCCGCTTCGGTGCCGCGTGCATACTTTATTTCATGGCTGCTCTTTTTCCTCTGCTTTTTCGTCTTCGATCAAGCCCCGCTTATTTCCCTTCATGACCCCGCTGCATCCGCTTCAGCCCCCGTCTGCCTCTTACTTCTCACTCAACGCCCACAAACAGACTGCCGGGGCAACGTACTGTCGCCCGAACTTTGGCCCTGGCATACAACGACCACCGGGACACGCTCCCGTGCCCGCAACACGCACGTGACCCCACACAGTCCCCACCGTTCCACCGGAGGAGGGGAAGGAGATGAGGAGCACAGGCACACGCAGCGTGAAAAGAGCAAACAAAAAAAATGGTAATAATAACATAGTTCTCGCAGTCCCCTTGTCCTCACTTTTTGTTTTGTTTTTGCTTCCTTCCTGGGGTGAGGGGGAAGGAAGAAGGGGAGGGCGGCTTCGCGCTTTGTTTTTGTGTGCATTTTCTTCTTTTTCTTTTAGGTTCTTCTCACTTTACTTTTTCTTTAGTTTTTTTTTCTTCTTATTTCCGCCTCCTCGCGTGCTCGCGTTTTAAATCTGTTCATCGCAAAAGCATGGGACGAGGCCTGTCCGAATTCTTTGCCGGATTTGGCCCCGCGTTCCTTTCCTACTCCTCCGCGCTCTTGACGTTCTCCCATTCCTTCACCCGCGCCGTCTCATTCTGACCTCTCTCCTCCCGCCGCACCTACTCCTTTTCACCGCCGCCCATATTTGGGCGACGCCGGCCGCGGCGGGAAACCGCCGGCTTGCGCTGCTGCTGCTGCTCCTTCTCCCCTTCGCCGGCCGCCGCCGCGTCCTCCGCACTCGTCGCCCAGTTGCGGTTTTCCTGGCTGCTGTCGACGTTGCGGTACGACGAGGGCGGTGGGATGTCGCAGGCGGCGCCGCCGCGTCCCCGGCCGCCGCCGCCGCCGCCGCGATGGTGGTGCAGCGGGGCCTGCATGGCGTCGCCATTCCCACCGTAGCCGGGGCCATCCCTATAGTCGTCGTAGCGGCGGCGCTCGTGCGGAAAGCCGCCGGAGAATCCCCTACCACCACCGCGATGCTGCTGCTGATGGTGGTCCATATGATGGCGTTGCTGATTGAAGGGATTGTGTTCGCCGCGGTGGCCTCCCCTAAATGACGACGGTCCGCCACCAACACCCATGCCACCTCTGCCGCGATGCGGCACGTACATGTCGTTCGCAAGCATTTTCGAGAGACGCATGTTAAGCTCCTCCAGCGCACGGTAGTCGAGCACCCGAGCCATGGTAACGATGGCCTCCACAAGATGTTCCTGTTGCATCCTGGGTATCCGCTCCCTTGCTCTTTTATATAATATATAATATGCTTCTTGCTGTGGTTGCTGTGGCTCGTTTTTTTTTTTCCTTTACACTTCTTAGAAAAAAAAATCCCCGCTATTTTATGTCTTGTTCCTTTCTGTTTTCGGTCCTTTGCACCAGTGCTTCCCTTTATTGGTGGAGTAGAGAGGTCGGTGTGCGTGTCAAAGGTGCTCTGGATAACGTTTCCTTCCTCCGCCGCAGCCGCGTCTCGCGCGGAGGGCGAGCGAGTCGAGGCGAGGCCCGAAGCGGGAGGCGAGAGAGAGCAAGAGAAACAGGGAGAGGAGGAAAGAAAGGAGTAAAGTGCGCGGCGCAAACGCGAGCCAATTAGCGGTTGCCAAACGGGGGGCGGCCAACACACCCGCCGGCGAGGTGTCCGGCTCCCTGCAGCGTCACCGCCCACATTGGGGTTTAGTCTCTGCCGCTGCTAACTACGCCTACGCTTCCTACGCCGCCCTCTCGCCGCACGCACACACACACACACACACAAGCCCCTGCACTGCTCCGCGACAGCAGAGCCCCCTCCCCCGCAGCAAAAAAACTGACAAATCCCCCAATACAAGAGCTAAAAACCAAAATACATTTTTCTGTCCCGCTTTTTTTTCCACATTTCTTGGTTGTTGCTAATGTATTCGGGTGGCGTCGTCGTTATTCTCCCCTATCGGTGCGGTTCCGCTGCTCGCATGCATGCGTGCATGCGTGCGTGCATGTGTGTGCGTGAAGGTAAGTGACTGGTGCCCCGCCCACCCCCCGGTTCTACCTCACCGGCGCGCCGCGGCCTTTCGCCGCCGACGCAACGCCCCCGTGCGAGTTTAGTGGTGGTCGTCGTGGTGGCTCCACACGTAGCGGTGGGGATCCAGGACGAGGTCGCGGGCGTTGTACTTAATCTGCATCGCCGGGTACTCCCCCCACCAGAAACCGATGGAAAAGATGAAGAACATCCAGCACGGGTCGCGGTTGAACTGCGAGAACCGCCGCGGAACAAAGCCACCAAGGAACATTTTGTATCCTCGCCTTATTCGTTAAGCTCCTACACCCTTCTCTCTTTTTTTATTTCTGCCTCTTTCTCGGATACTATAATCGCGTGTTGTGACCGTGCCTTTGCGCTTCCCGCAATACTGGCCTCTCCCGCGGCGAAGCAAAAGAGCAACAACAACAACAGGAGCGAAAAGGAAACATACGGAGAGAAAAATACCTGGTGGGAGCTACAAAAACAGGCAGCGGAAGAGGCGAGGCAGTTGGTGAAGTAGACCGCGGCCGCCACCCGCCGCCACAACCGCACGCCCCACCTGGGGCGCTGCCGTGTTAGTTGCCGACGCCTGTGAACGTCGTGGAGCCGCCGGCGGAGGCGGCACGCACGCAGGCGCCCCGCCCCGGCCCGCCTCAGAGCGTGGGATTCATGATCAGCCGCATTAGTTCCCCGTCCTCACTTTTCTTTACCTGCACCACGAAGTTCACCGCACCCACTTCCGCGCCTCCGGAGAAGAGCATGAGTCGCAGCATACCGACCTGCAACATGTACTTCTCCTCCACCGTGGAGGGCGCCAGCGAGTCGAGGCGCGCATCCAGCCGATACGGCGCGCCTGGATGCAGCGTGGCGACACCGTCAGAGGGTGTGTGCTGAAGCGAGCCGGCGGCGGCGTTGACGGCGCACCCGCACTCCGAGCACGGCGAGGGTGGAAGCAGCGGCACCAAAAGACGCCTGTACGAAATGTCCGCCTCAAACGCCACCGCCCACGCCGGGTTTACAATGGGCCGTAGCACACTGTACTCCAGCGTGATCTGCAGTGGGGCGTCCAGCGGGGTGTAGCAGCGCGCTGCCTGGCTCAGCGTGACGCCCGCAACTAAAATACACGGCCGTTCCGCCATCTATGCGCGCGTGCCCTGCCTCGGGCACTGCGGCGCAAAATCCACAACCGCACGAAAAAAAGAAAACAACAACAACGGGAAAGCAGAGCACAAAAGAAAAGAAAAAAAACATATGATGCAAGAAGGGTGTCAACGCACCGGCAGTCAATGGAGCAGTGAGCGGGTAAAGGGCGGCAAGGGAAGAGTGGAGGGAAGGGCGTCCTCCGCAAACTCGACGAACCGTGTCGAAGCAGCATCTCACCTTAATCAAGCGTTAACAATTCAAAAACCAAATCCGGCGCATTTCCACCCCAATTTTTTTTTCATTTGAGGGGGTTTTCTTTTAAGCGCCTGTTTTTTCTTCTTCTTTGTTCTTTCCTTTCCCACTTCTGATCCTTCTCTGCCTCGCGTTAGCGTCAACTCCACCACACGCTGTCTTCCTCTACACACCGGCGAACAGGAGGGCGTTGGTGCGTTGCTCGCAGCGACGCACGAAGAGCGCGAACGAGATGGTGACGGCGGAGACAGCTAGAAAGCGGTGGAAGTTGGTCCAAAACTGCTTGTATGACTCACCGTCCGGAAGGGCCTTTGGCCCCTGCGCGCCAGGGAACATCATCTCTCCTCTTTGCCTTTTTAATGGAGCGGCACTGCCTTGCTGTTGGTTGCTTGCAGCGACGCAGGCAGATGAGAAGGGACGGGGCAGGAAGGAAAAAAAAAACAACAACAGCAAAGAGAAAAACATAAAATAAAAGGAGGAAAATGGAGGGGAAGAATCATGCAACGTCGCGTGAGGAGAGCGGCCTCAGCCGCTGTCTTGTCGCAGAGGGAATTCGGCGCTGCAGGGCCCAGCGAGCGCGCGGCAGAGAGAGGGTGAGTAAAGGCGCGGGGGAAGGGAGGCGGATCAGCGGTCACTATTTATGGGAAGTGCGGTATTCACTCGTCACGAGGCTGAAGTCACGTCAAAGGAGCATACCAGTAAGCATCATTGCAGGAGCAGCGGCAAAACCATGCACACACGCACGTCGGCCGGCGCCTGAGTGCGTTGGGGGCCGCCGTCTCCCCTCGCTAGGGGCTAAGCTGCGCAGTGAGAAAAGAAGATCCCCCGGGGGGAGGCGGGAAAGAGGCGTCGTCCGGGCGCGGACACGCCGTGGGCGCATGCACGCCCCCCGTGGAGGGGAGAGCGCGGGGCAGAGAGAGCAGCAGCAACAGCCCCGCTTACGAGCAAAGCACCAGGGAAGAGGAAGGAAGTAGCAAAAAGAGAGATAGAGAGAGAAAAAAGAAAGCGACACAAGTACCCACGGACGCACAACTTGGCCCTTTTAACCACGAGGCCCCCACTCAACCCCCGCAGCGTGCGCGCTTGCATCATGAACCGCACAACGCTCAGAGCGACCCCCCGCACACAAAAAAAGGATGAATTGGATAACCCGCCCACCACAAAAACGCCCTCCATAATAATAGTAAGAGGGTCTGTGTGTGTTTGTGTGTGTGTTTGCGCCTCTCAGCGCAAGTGCAAAAGGAGAAAAAAGGACGCCGCCACACACACACAAGAAAAAAAAACAAACAGGTCTTCGCGTCGGACCGCGTCAGAGGCGGTCCGGTGTCCCTCTTCCCTTTGCGGCCCCCCGCACGGCTTCGGCGACGGCCCCACTCCCCCCCATCATCTTCACGCGTTGTCGTCGCTGACAACTGTGGGGGCGTCCCACGCGCAGAAACGCACGATCCACCCCTGCGGCAGCAGTGAGATGCCCACAAGACGGTGAAGGACCGAAAAATGCCCCCCCCCATTACGTCATGTGTCTCTTGCACACACATAAAGAGAGAGAGAGAGAGACATCGAGAAAGACGCGGAACAAAAAAAAAACACAACATCAGAGGGAGAAGAAAAAAAGAAAAAAAACACAGATCCATTGCACAGTCGCCGCAGATGGGATTCCCCGATTTCCAGTAAAAATGGGCCGGGCCGGCAGTGAATGCAGCCTGTCTAATGTGGCTGTGGTCGACTTCGTGAGCACGCACCACACAAAAAAAAACAAACAATTCGGACCGATAAAAAAAAGGCACAAACACACACACACATACATACCTGCTAGGAGACAAGCTTACAAGAAAACACCCAAACAAAGAGGCAAACATGTACGGGCAATCGCATAAATCGGATTTTGCTATTGTGTGTGCATGGGGTAAGGATGAGTCACCATCCTCTCCCTCCCACGCACGCATGCACACACGCTGGTACCCCAATAACAACGGGAACGAAAAAAGCAATCAAACTAAAAAAAAAGCGTTATTTTGCTAGCAACGTGTGCCCACATATCGCCTTCCTTCTTTAACCCTCATTCACCCCATCCCCCGCCTCCGTTTTTTTTCTTTAAATTTGCTGCTGAAAAAGTTTTTTTTTTTCGTTGTATTCCTTTTGGGTGGGTGGGGAAGGTTCAACTGTCACAGTCGAAGGACACTTGTGGACACTGCCCACGCAAAACCCATCCCTTTGCCTCCAGTCAAGTGTGCCCCACTCACAACAATCTTGACGGCAAAACGCCGTGATCGGTGTTTCGGGCTCAGGAGGACAAGCCGCTTACAGACCCCTCAGGGGAGCCAGTACCTCCGTTCGCCGTCTTCAAGACCTGGGCGAGCTCCCGCAGGCTTTCTTTTTCGTAGCGTTGGTAAATAAACCCTTCCTGCGGCGTAAACTCAAAGTCATTAAAACCGCACGGGTGTGAAAAGACCAACGTGCGGCTGCCGGCCTGATTCCCCACCGCTTCACTTCGCAGGATAGCATCCATGTGCAGAAGCGATGACTGCAGCATGGTGGCAAACACTGTGGCGGAGGTAAAAGGTTGCGTGCAACAGGAGGAGATGACAAAGTCGATGCTGTTTGATTTTATCATGTAGCCAATGCCGTACCCCGAGCTCACCACTGGACCAAAGCCAAAGGTGTCAAGTGCACTGCTTCCACAATGTGAGGTAGACATCAGCCAAGTCACACTGCGATGAAAACACGCGTCGGTAAAGAGCTCGGGTATGGGAATACCATGCATTCTTGCCATGACTCGAAGCCCGTAGAGGTGCCGGTCCACGCCAAGGCCTTTCTTAGCCAGCTTCATAAACTCCGTGTGGGACTCAATTGCAGTGCGCAGAAGCTGCCGCTGGGTCGGCACATACGATCCCACGCGTTTGGAGAAGATGGGTTCAGATGCCGCGTGACAAAAATCCCATACTGCACGTGAGGTGCTTCGAACGCACTCTGTTCGTCCATGAGAGAAACTGCGTGTGCTGGCCGCCTCGTAAGTGGCACAGTTTCGCCCAAAAAGTCGATAGAAGGTAAGCTGCAGAGCGACTTGAACAAAGGCGTCTGGTGACAAGTTCCCGTGCTTTAAGCGAACCCCCCCGAAATTTTGAAAGTGCAACACATGTGTTTCGTTACTCTCAATCAAAACCTTGAAGTCCGCAAAGGCCGCCTTCATGAGCTCGTCAAGCCCCTTATCGAGAGACCACTGCAGCTCTGACACCATGCCCACGGCCAACTGCATTTTTTCCGTCTGCTCCATGAGTGCCTCCACGTCCTTGTCCGAGAAGAAGCGTTCGCAGTCCCTGCGGAACATGAAGTCCGCGACGTGCAGCGCTGTGCCGCCATCTCCCACGGAATGCTCCCAATTGATGCCGGCGGATCCGTCTCGGGCGACAATTATATTGTGACGATCAAACCAGCGGTTTGTCCCAGGGCCGTGGAGGAAGAGCCTTGCAGCCTCATCGGGCGATTTCGCCTCCACCCCGTCAAGACAGAGACATAAGATCGCCGACTGAATCGCTTGCAGCACCTCACTGTTGCCCAGTGTCTTGAGGCGCTCTCGCGTGTGGAACCAGTCGGTACGGTCTAGCGTTGTGAAGAGACCAACTGGGGCCCCTGGCTCTTTGCGCGACGTCGCACAGTCCACGATCTGCTTGAGCGCCAAGACAAGCTCCTCCAGAGAACACTGGACTCCATCTTTGAGCACCTCCACCTTGAAGTACCGGTTGCGGATGATGACGACACAGTGCGTGGGATCCGCAGCGACGTACTCGGCAAACTTGGACTTTTGCTCATCACTTGTCAAGGGTCTTGTGGAGTAGCAGACTTTGCGGTCACGACGCAGGCCGGGAACGCGGGAGGTGGCAAAGGCGAAGCGATACTGGCTCATGCACACAGGTGCATCTCTCTCAAACTCCTTTGCCACTGTGCCATCAAGAATGGAGAGGTAGTACCTTGTCGCTGCGTGCAGTAAACTTGCGGCGCGTCCCACCTGTGAGATTCGTGAAGAAGCATTCAATTGTTGGGGGTGCGGTTGAAGTTGAAAGAAGTAGTTGACATTCACTGGGATAGGGTCGCGTGTACAGAGGTAGGAGTCATCCCAGAATTCCTCTAGCCAACTCGGTTGGTCGCATGTTTGGTCCCACTTCACCAAGAGGCTGTGCAGAAGTTCCCCAGTGCCCCCTGGCTTCAGGAACTCTTCCATCAGCTTGCTGGCGTGGAAGTATTCCTCCGAAGTTGCGATGGCCTGAATAGACCTCAGGTACAAGTCGCAGGTGTGCTTCAAGGGAGGAATGGGTAGGCGGGGAAGGGACGACTGGTGCTCCTCATAGCTTGACGTCTGCGCCTTTTTTGGCAGGTTGCAGGTGTCTGTTGCGCCGTTGGCACTCAGGACCTCATGCGAAAAACGCGAGGATTCATGCGTCTTCACGGGGCTCAGGGAGCGGCGGGTTCGCACTTCGTAGGCCGAGTCAAGTTCCCAGAATCTGTGTGCATTCGCCGAGTTTGCCGGCGGCATTTCCTTTCCCTTGCGTGGGTGATTACTGGGCAACGGCAAAAGCAGCACCGAGAGAGAGAGAGAGGAAACAAAAGAAAAGAGAAGTAAGAACAACAACATTGAGAGGGAAATGCGTGGTGGCAAAGAAGCGTACAAGTGACGCTTGCAGCAAACAGTAGCAAATAAAGGAAAGGGATAATGCAATTGCGGTGTGGGTGGGTGGGTGGGTGGGTGTATTTTTTTTGTTGGTTGGTAGTAAACAAGAGGAGGAGGGGAAAGAGAGAAATGCAGACAGGCGCCAAGAACGCAGACGAGAAGTCCACCAACGCCAACACTTACAGAAAGCGGAAGAAAGGAAAAAGAAAGCGGATAGACAACAAACACGTCAGTTTCGCCGCTCTGGGTGCTGCGGAGAGACGTCAAGAGGCGTGTCCCGATGCGCCGACGAGCCGTGCCCCGTTTCGCGCTGCAGGAGCTGAAGGATCTCCCGCACAGTGTCACCCACCTTAAGGTCAAAGAATTTCACGGTGTGCAGCTGCTCGTTAAGCACCAGCGCATCCATTTGCTCCGTGTCCGTCATCGCGTGGTACTCCTCCCGCACAATCTTGTCCATCAGTGCCCGCCAGCGCCGCCGCTCCGCCGTGATGCCTGTTGAGCCCAGCGACGAGACATCGTAGGAGGCGACGCCGCTCTCGCCCCTGGCGTGGGCAAGGTAGGCCTTGTAGAGCGGCGCATACTCCTCGAACTCCTCGGGCAGCTCCACGGCGGAGGGCGTTGCGGGCTCGCGCCCTCCCGCCTCGTCCACGCGGAGGTCGGCAAAAGCCTCCTCGTCCCCCGCGGCAGCCCCGCCGCTCGACCCCGGCGGCGGGTCCTCGAAGAGCGAAAGCTCAGGAATGGAGGCAATGAAGGCGCTGTCGTCGTCGTCGTCGAGGGCGGCGGAGGACCTCCCGCCCGGCACCGGCACGACGCCGTCGCCCTCCCGCTCCCGCTCGCGCTCCGCCAACGCCTGCCGCACGAGTTTTCCCTCCGCAATGCGCTGACGCAGCGCCTCCGCCTCCGCCTCAAGGGAGTCCATGTCGAGAGCGAGAAACATCCGGAAGTACGCCTCACGGGCGGCCGTGGTTTCGCAGCCGTAAATCACCGCGCATGCCTCCATCAAAGAAAAGAGGTACTGCTTGTCCTCGCCGCCCTTCACACCACCCTCCGAGGCCCGCGCCGCCGTCCCCTCCAAACGGCTCTGCATGAAGCTCTGAAATCGGTCGCAGAACTGCATCCGCCTCTCATTAAATAAGTAGCGTGCAGTGAGGACCTCCCGCGTGTCTGGGTCGACGTCTGTCTGCATGTGCACCTGGTCGCTGGGCGCCCCGGCGGCGCCAATCGCGACCCCACGCCGCTCACGATTCATCACGCCCGCGAGGTGTTGTCGCCCGCGGCGCAGCTCCACCTCGCTGTACGACAGCGCCCCCACCTCGAAGCTCAGCTGGTCACGGTGCCGCTTCGAAACAAACTCACGGTGAATCATCAAGTTGTGGCCGAAGTCCTCCTCGTACTCAACTGTCTGCGGGAGCGGCATGGGGCGGTAAACTATCTGCAGGGCCTCCTGCGCGCTGAGGCCGTTTGCCGGGGCTGCGCCACCGCTTGACGCCGTCGGCGACCACGTCCGCTGCCCCCACTTGCGCCGAGCTGCACAGCAGAGACACTTCCGCATCACAACTATTTTCCTTTTCCTTTTTTTTTCCGTCTTCTTCTTTCGCCTGCCAGTTGTGCGGGTGCCTCCCTGCGTTTGTTATCGTCGCTGAGCGAGAGAGTGGAGAACGCGGAGGAGAGCGAGGGACACGAAGCACAATGAATGCAGAAAGAAAACCCACAAACAACCACATCTTTTCGCCTGTAACTCACCTCCGCCCAGATAAAGACACCCGAAAAAAACAAAAAAACACACAATTCTCCTTGACTAGGCGCAGGGGAGGTTTAGGCCGTCTTCTTTCCTTTCCGCGAGTGAAACTCGAGCTCCATCTCTGGGTAGCCGGCCGCCGCGCGGTGCTTGTAGAAGAGGGTCCGGAGTGCCGCGAAGTACGCGTCGGCGAGGGTGACAACATCGTTCGGATTGTCGGCGCTCGCGCCGGGCGGGATCGGCAGGGGGGAACCGACGACGAGCGTCAGCGGCGTGCGGTGCGGAAGCGGCAGCAGCCATCTACCGTGCGGAATAATCGGGAAGGGGAAGCCCAGCAGCTTCAGCGTGGCGCGCTGCAGCTTGGGCGCGGGGACGATGTCCAGCACGTTCTGCTCCGCAAAGCTTATCAGCGGCACGAGCGGCACCTTGTGCCGCAGCGCCAGCCTCACGAAGCCGTGGTGGTAGGTGACGACCGACATCACCATGTCGCTGCGCTTCGTTAGAAGCAGCTCGGCCTGCCCGCCAATGACGATGAGTGGGCTGTTGCCGCGGGAAATGCTGGCGCCAATGGCGGCGCGCGTCACGGAGAGCGCCCCCAAGCTCAAGTTAAAGTCGCGTATGATTGGAACGTTGAACACGACGCTTGCCTCATGCGTGGAAACGTAGGTCTTTGCATTTTGACCAATTTTTTGCGCCCAGGCCTCGGAAAAGATGCCGCAGAGGGCGCTGCCCGCAAAGACCCCATGCGGATGAAATGCGAAGATGTACTGATTGCCGCCGTCCCGCATGCTCACGGAGTCGTCCTCCAGAATAACGCGATAGCTAAAGTAGTTCCCAATATCCCTGAAGAGGTACTTTTCTGCCCACTTCACAAACGGCAAGCTGCGGTACTTGCCCGTCTCCTCAGGCTTCCCATCGTACAACGGAAGGTACCAGAGCCACACGAGCAGTTCCAGCGCATCTATGGCGTAGTACCCCAGCGTTGCTAGCGCAGAAAGTGTTGTGTGCCTCTCCAACACACGAAGGTATTCCACGTAGGTGGCGTACCCAAGCATTGCGTAGACACCAAACCTTAACAATATGCGAAGCGGACGAAAAGGCGCGCCCACGCTCAAAGCCAAAGCCACAGCCCCAGTATAATACACCCCCACGGAATGAAACGGTAGCCAGAATGCCGGTCCATAGATGATGGAGAAGGAAATGATTGCAATGGAGTACACACTGCATACGACGACGCACTCCCTAAAGGACTGAAATTGCCTTCGCACGCCAATGCTCATGACATGCGGCACAAGTGACAGCAGCAAGGCAAGAATCACCGCCATCAGCGGCACGGGTATCCAATATTGTATGAGTGGCATGATGCCGCTCTGCACACCCTTCACAATGTGGTATACCAAGAACATAAACACCATGGGCGTAGTCATTCCAAGCATCAGCATCACGATTTCCGAAATCCGCAGAATGACGTTCAGAATGAGGGACTTACGGCGCCCCCACTGCTCATCCTCTTCGGCGTCAATGTCGCGGCGCGGGGAGTGGGCCACCGTCACCAAGCGCTTCGTGGAACGGCCGAGGGTGACCAGGACGAACGGCACGGCAGCCACAATGCTGAGCGCCATGACGGAAAAGGGAACATGCGAGCGCCGTGTGGAGAGGGCCATGCCTGCGTCGACGGCACAAGCGGCATCCAACTCGCGAAAGAACTCCTGCGCCCGCAGGTAGAGGTGACCAAACAGGAAGGCGCCGACGAAAACCAACACCGCCACAACTCCTTCGCCGTTCTCCTCCAAGTACGTCAGACGCCGGGGTCGTGAGTCAAATTTCGGGATGGAGACCAGAATAAGTATTTGACAAAATACCGAGAAGAGCGCCGCAGCAAGAAGTTCGACGGTTTGCCCCTCATCTTCCAGGGTGTGAATGAGCGTCAGGATAAATGTACATGCGTAGCTCACCCAACCCGCAATTTGCAGCGCCACAAACACAGGTCCGCCTTTAAAGAGCATAAAAAATGTATACTCCCCCGTGTGACCCTGCAGCAACACCCCATACCCGCAGTGCGTGCCCACGCAGGAGATGGTGCAGACAGCAAGGCCACCGACGGAAAATACAAAGCTGACAAGCGGGAGTTTGCTCGCCCAAAGCGCGGCGATGACGTATCCAGATGCCGAGGCAAAGCACAGCATCATCACCAACAGAGTTGCCGCGCCGTTGCGGGTCTCAGCCTCGGTCGGGAAGAGCGGCAAAACATCCTCCTCATCCCCAACTGTGAGGTCAATGTGTTTCATAACTTCACTTGCTTTTGTTGCAGCGCGCCTCTCTGGAGCCGGCTTGCCGCCGATGCAAAAATGCGCTCGGTCGTACTGCATGCCGTGGGCTGAAAGGGCCGACGCGGCCAGAATCCGCATGGACACTTGCAGCGCCGCCCGCTCATTCGCCTCGCGATCCTCAAAGCCTTCAGCGAGTGCAGCCTTGACGCATTCGAGAGCCTCCGTCACCATTCTGCGGCCACGCTGCTGTGAGACGGAGAATCGCGCCTCCGTGACCACGGAGAGCACAACGAGCAGCAGCGGGACCAGCTGTAGACATCCCTCCATCGTGAACCAGAGGAAGAAGGGGTAGTCGGACGCAAAGTGCATGGAAACCAAACCATTCAGCGAGAGAACATGCTCCAGAACAGACTTGAGTAAAAACAGGGCATACCCAACCCACCCCAAGGCCTGCAGGGCGATGTAGGTGCCGCTGCCGCAAAACGGCGCGAAGAAGGGGATGTCTTTGCTGGTGCCGGAGTAGTGGGCCAGAGGCACACTCACCACGAAGGCCAAGGTCGCAAAGCTAATCAGTAGCTGCTTGCGAACGTAGGAAAACTCTCTGTCTTGTGTCAAGGATATGTCTACCACCAGCCGCAAAATAATAGAAGCCAGTTGAAGCAGCAGACTGACAATTAGTTCACCGCTGATGAGACTTTCCTTCTCCGGTTTCACCTCGCGTCTTTTCCCGCTCTCTGCCGCCTGCGCCGCCTCCGGGGAGGAAACTGAGGCAAAGGCCTCAATAGAGAATTGAATAAAAAACTGCCCCATAGCGCCAGTGGCTGTGGCGTAGAGAATCCAGCGGAAGTTCGTTGCTGTCATGTGGAACGTCATGCACAGAATACAGGCGGCAAAGAAGGCCCAACCAAGCGCTTGCAGAAAGACAAATCCCGTCGAACCACGAAAGGGCTGAAAAAAGCTGAAGGCATCCCCGTAGATAACGCGTCCAATCAAGTGCGTCACGGGAGACAGCGCAAGCAAAAAGAGTACGGATAACGTTTGGCAAAACAAGAGTCCCTCCATCAACGCCCGTCCATTCCTAGACCCTATAAAGAAATTTTCCTCTCGCCTCACATAATACATGATGCCAACTGAGATGCACGCCAATGTTGTGGCCATGGCTGAGAGAAGAAATCGGGCGTACTTCGCTACAGTGGACCGAACAGGGTCTTGACTCGCTTTAGCCCTTGCTGTTCGCACCAGCACCAGCTTCGACAGGATACCAATAAAGGCCGCCAATGCTGTCATTCCAAAGGTCACCTGTGGGGCATCCGTCCCTGTGCGAATGAGAGCTATTCCCCCCGCAAGCGCCAAAACGTACACCAACCAGGAGAGCAAACTGTACAAAGTCTCTATAGGCCCTCGTAGCATTTTGAATCCTTCTGTCTGTTTCCATCCAATCACCAAATGAATGATTATACCACTCAATACATGAAAAATGGTGAATAACATCATCACAGGCGAAGAGACGGACTGAAACAAGGCCCCAACATTGCAGAGAAACAACTGCGACAGTAGAAAAATGACAACCAGGCCAGTTTCGGAGTTGGGGCTATGCAGCATCCACTCCAGCGCCGACCCCCTGTCTGGGTTATCCATAGAACGCCGCGGATCTCCCTCCACAGATCTGCTTCGGGACTCCGAGGGGGCAAAGTAGCGCACGGACACAAGCAGCAAAATATTCCCTATGGAGGCAAATCCTTCCAGTATCGTAAGCGCCCCGTACCTAAACGTGGGCGGCTCCAGCTGGAGAAGGTATACAACCATAACCGCTGAAGCAGCGGCCAGGAGCGTCCAGCCACACCCTTGTAGTAATACATACACCTCCCCGCCCGCAAATGGTTGATATATGCTGAATGCGTCCCACACGCTGTACCCGAGGAGAATGGAGAGGAGGGCACAGAGGCCATTGAGTCCCACTGCCAAGCTTGCCGTTGGCATCAACGGGAAGGCGGGGGCATTGGCCTGAAACGCATCTGCGAGAGCACCCGCGGCTAGTGCTACAGCAAAACCAAGCGTCCAGGCCACCCCAAGTGAAAGTGTGGAAAATTGTGGAATCCCCAACGCAGCTGCGTAGCGAAGGAGCACACTTTCCCGTTTCTGTGCCGGCATGGGACTGAAAACCCCAAAAGTTGTTGACTTGAATAGGTGGCTAAGAACTCTACAGGCTCTACACGAAGAATACTACCGCCCTGCCAACAAATAACAACAACAACACACACACGGACACAAAAAATAAAAAGGAAATAGCAACAAGAAAAAAAAAAGAGCGAGCAAGCGAGTGTGAAAAACAGGCGTCGTGAACCGCCAAGATGCAAAATAGAGAAAACAGTTCACGGACGCACAGTCAGAAAGAGGGATAGACGCCCCTTATAAAACATGCAGTGCATGGACATAAAAGCGCCTGGCGTCTTTTTTTTTTTGGTCTGTCTCTTTCACACACAATTGCACACTGTACTCTTTGCACGCAGCTTAAGCGCCTCCGGTGCAATCCCTCATTACACACACACACACACACACAGTAAATGCGCCTGGCTGCGGCCCTTTTCCACCTACTCCCACAAGGGGAGAAAGAGCAAAAGAGAGGGAGATGGTAGCTTGGCTTAACGTACACCCAACATCTCCCCGTTTGAGGGAAGAAGGGGGGTGCCACACTCACTTACACCTATGGGCAAAGTAATTCAATATATATGTATATATATATATATATAAATATATATATATATATACATACGCGCCCTACAATGGCTGCACTCTCGTTATGAACCCAAGCGGTGGCAGCTGTTGAAGCTCATCAACCGCCGGCCTCCCTTTCCCACGTGAAGGGTAGTAGTATTAGTTGTAGGGGGTTGGTGCTAGAAGACGGAGACCCAGCAAAGAAAAACAAAAATGCACACCCACCAGCTTGCAACGCCACCGCATTGGCAAGACAAATCAAGTAGTGAAGAAATAAAACAGGGACGCTAAACAATACGCACCGCCTTTCTCTATTTGGCTCTAACGTCTCTCTCTCTCTCTCCCTCTCTCATTCAGACACACATAGGCACACTCCTTCCGCAAGGCACTCCTACAGAGCACACTAAGCACCAATGCAGGCCAATACAAGGGGCCTCAAAAATAAAACCGTTTCCATGAAGACTTACTCTTGCCTCCTTTTCCACCTTCTTGGCGGCTTCGTTTAATCCCCTCGTGCATGCGGCTTTTACAACTCGCTCCATCGCTCGTCCAATCGCTGCCTTCCTCTTTACTGTAAACCGGCTGGCGTGTCATTAGCCTCGTCTCCCGCCGTGGTATTTGTGGTGTCTTCAGTCTTCGCGGAGACCCGGCGAACCTCCCTGCGGTGGTGCAGAAAGAGTGCCATATCTGGGTACCCGGCCTTGGCGCGGTAATTGAAGAAGAGCTCCTCGAGGTGCTTGAAGTAACGCTGCTGGTACCGCTGCACGTGCTCCGGGTTCTCCGGGACGTCCAGGCCGGGCTCAGGCAAAATTGGTCGACCCACTACGACCGTGAGAGGTTGCATGTTGGGCAGTGGCAGATACCATCTTCCGTAGGGCACAGTTGGGAACGGAAACCCCACCTTTTCCGTAGTGTATCGCTGCAGGGCGAAGCAGCTTACGTTGCTCAAAATATTATTCTCTGCAAAGCTGAGAATGGGCACAAGTGGCACCCGATGCGTCATTGCCATGCGCACGAATCCACTGTGGTGCGTCACCAGATGCATCTCTGTGCGGCTGTATTTGGTGTAGAGCATCTCCGCCTGTCCCCCTGTCACCACAATCGGGCTGTTGCCAGACAGAAGGCTATGCTCAATGCCCCGACGCGCCACCGTCATACCTCCCATGGAGAGCACGAAGTCCCGCATCAAGGGAACTGCAAAAACGACGTCGGCGCAATGCACCGAGATAAACTTCTCCGTGTTGCAGCCCACGGCCTTCTCCCACTGACGCGTGTTTGGCGCCCACATCACCGTCCCAGGGAAGACGCCATGCGGGTGGAAAGAGAATAAGTACTTGTTTTCCGGGTTACTCAGGTCGACGCAATCGCCCCGTGCGGGGTGCGGACTCTCGCCTCGTCGCGACTCCCTCCCGTCAACGATGACGCGAAGGCTAAAGTAGTCCGCCACGGCGGAGTACACCCAGCGAGCCCAAAAACGCTTCACCCTGGGGCTGTGCAGGCGCCCCGTAACCTGCGGCTGGTCAAGGAGGCGGCGAAAGTACAACGGCCAAAAGACCGTCAATAGGGTGTCCGTGACAAACTTCCACGGCGTAAACGCCGCCGACCCCACCAGTAAACACGTGTAAATATGATGGTGCCAAAAGTAGCCAAGGAGGGAAACATTCACCAGCATGCAAATAAGGTGAATATGTGGAATTGTTGAGAAACACGACACGACAAGCATGCTAATGGCAAAAGCGTACGCCCCAGATGTCTTTACCACCAACGGAAGCCCCAGCGAACCCACCACCACGATTGTTGGAATGGAATATATGAAGTAACAGCAGAGTGCGTTATAAACGCGGCGCCATAGACTCTTACGTGGACCTGGACTTTTTCCAGGCGCAAAAATTGGAACGAGTACAGCTAACCCAAAGCCAATTAATAAGTAACGAAGAGACGCAGAGGCTGCGGCAACCGCCTCCACGCCACTGTACGCATGACAGTAAACAACGTAGATAAGAGCAAATGAAATGAGGGTTGATGCCAGAATCGCAGAAGAGGTGGCCACCATAAAGCATGTCATGTATACCGAATCACGCAGGCCACTCCTTTGACGCCCCTGAGAAGCTTGCACCAAATCACCCGGCGCCGGGGTTAAGGCCCGTGAAAGGTAGCCGCTGCCGCTCTCAATACTCAGCTCGCTTACTTGCCGACGATGCATCGTGTCAGTGAACGACGTAGCCGAAGCAGCAACTCTCGGTGAATTCGCAGCACCAGGAATCAAAGAAGGGAGTGGCGTCCGTGACAGCGACGGCGTGCTATCGGCCTCATCGTCACTCTCGGTGGATTCGAGGGAATTGTCAAAGAGGGCAAAAGCCGAATTGGAACACCTGGCTGCGTTGCGTTTGAGCGACACCAGACCCAGTGGAACAGCAAAGCAGGTGGAGACGGCGGAAACGGTGATGGGAAGCAGCGACGATGCCATTCCAGAGACACGGCCCTGTGTGTACAGGTCGTACACCATCGCGAAGGCAAAGGAGCCGATTAAGGCCAGCACGGCAATAATGCCTTCAGCGTTAAGCTCCAGCACGGAGGTGGGACGCGGGGTTGGGTCAAACCGTGGCACAGAATTTAGAATGCAGTACTGTGCACTGACGCTAAAGACGCCGGTGGTGACAAACACAATCGCGGAGCCGCGACACTCCGCGCAGCTGAGGGCGATCAACAAGGCGGACACGGTGTAGAAGCCCCAGCCAACCGCCTGCAGCGTCACAAACGTTGGACCACCTGAAAAAGGCATAAAAAATGAATATTGACCCGATGCACGGTGCAGGAATGTGCCGTAGACATAATGCACAGAAAAGCAAGAAATCGTTGTCACCGTTATCCCGGCAGCACCAAAAACGAGGGTAAAGACGGGCTGACTTTCTGCTAAAAAGGCGGCAGAAATAAACGCCAGTGCACTCGCAACGCTCAGAATCGTCACAATGTGGGTGGCTGCCTCCTGCCTTGCATGCGCCGTCTCCTCTGCCTCTCGAATCAGTCGTGCCCCGTCCGTGGCGGGCGGCTCCATCCATCGTGGACCCGCAATGGCCCGCAATAGTGCCTCAGCATGGCACAACTCCTCCTCGTCTGGGATCGCACGGTGCAGAACGCGAAAAAGTTCAAGCACCTCCTGTTTTTTGCGTTCCTGAATCCCTTTCTTACAGCTTTGCTCCTGTGTCTCAAAAAAGGCACCGATAATGATGCAGGCAAGCGGGATTGTCGCAATCAGCCCCTCCATGGTGTATCCCAGGAACATGTGGTCCTCCCCCTTGACAGGCGGCAGCAGACTCTGCCGCTTCTCGCTGAGGCCGTTGGCAACGAAAATGAAGAGATTAACCGCGTAGATTGACCAGCCAATCGACTGCATCGCCACGTAGCCGCCGCAGCCCACGAACGGACGCCACACGGAAATGCGCTCTCGCATAGAAAGATGGGCGATGGGCACGACAAGAATGGAGATGATGACCGACAACTTGAGCAGCGACTTTGTCGGAATACACATCAACTCGTCAAAGGCGTTTCCACTTTCCTCTGCGACGTCGGCCACGACCCGGAGAATGAGCCCAATCGTACAAAGTAGAATGGAAGTCAGCATCTCCCCATTCAGCACCGTTGTGACGAGTGACCCGCCTACCTCATACAGCGAGGGCTCCTCGTCCTCCATGCCGTTGGCGTCGGCAACCACATCCCCGCTGTCGGACGAGGCATTTGGCGAGTTCCCCGGCCTCGGCTTGGCGCCCTTACGCCCTTCGTCAAACAGGTGCAGCGAGGCATGGATAAACCCTTGTGAAAGCGCCGTAAGCGAGGACTCAACGATGACGAAGCGAAAATGAAGGTTTTCTGTAATTTGCAGCGTCGCAAAGAAAATGGCAACCCCAAAACACGTCCAACCGGCACTTTGCAGCACCACAAACTCTAGTGGTCCCTTGAACGGCATCCACACCTCGTACTCCCTGCCAAATGCGATGCGTCCCAAGAGATGTGTGCAGGGCGGGAGTGCAAAGGTAAGCAGCGAGGAGAGGGTCTGACAAAGCACAAGCCCTTGACGCAGCTGCGGCTCCTCACTGTAGGCGTTGGAGGAAAGAATGAGGGCCAAACCCCACACCACGGCGACGTGAATGACACTCGTCAGCGTCAAAACCATGGGACCGTATTCACCAACCAAAGACATTCCACTTTGTGTGGAGGCTGGAAATCGGTGCAGACGTATAAACAACAGCAGCGTGCTTAGGCTAATGACTGAGCTTAACCCAGCCAAGATATGCAGTGACGACGACGCCCCAGGGCCTGCCTTATAGAGAATCATATCTAAATGTAAGCTTGCAGCCGCGAGAAACCAACCAAATGCCTGCATCAAACTCATTCTAGGTGTACCCGCATTCGGCATAAAAAGACGGTAACCGGGGGTGTACGTATAACCGACAATCACGTGGGTAATAAAGAGGCCGATGGACGACAACACAGCGGTAACGACAGCGCTGATACGACGCATGCCTGGGTAATACTCCGCAAACGAAGCGCACAGAAGAAGTGCGACGCAAAAGGAGACAATGATTCCAATCTCACCATTTGGGGAGGCGGAGAGGTCGCGCCACCAGATGGCCTCCTCATGGGTTGGCACAGAGCGTTTTGCACTACGCCCTCCTCTATGGCGTGCCGGGACAAAGAACAACAAGGACGTCATCAGTGTAATGCCCGCTAACGCACTAAAACAACCGAGGACGGTCAACATTCCATAACGGTAGACGGCTAAGGGAATTCTAATCTGCTCCACATACACAAACAGAAGGATGCTTGTGACGACCAGTATGCAATATCCAAACCCCTGCATCACCACAAAGGACTGTCCCCCGGCAAAGGGCTGGTAAAAGTTAAATCCCCGGAAAGACAGTCGCCCAAGGAAGACGGTGAGGACGGCGCACAGTACATTTAGCCCAATGCTTGTAGTGATGGTGGGCACCAGCGGGAACGCAGGAGCCCGACTCTGGAAGACGTCGGCCAATATGTTGAGCAGCAGCGCCCCTTCGCAGGAAAAGGCCCACACAGTCATCAAGGCAATGCTCATTGGATTCGTCATCAATACCGAAGTGCGCCCAGTCGGAGGGCCACCTGCACGCGCTCGTCTCGCCACACGGGGTTGCGCCGCTTGGGGCGCTGCCGCTGCCTCGGCGCACGTTTCGCTTTCTCCTCCAGCGTTCATACTTGACTCAACGCAGAGCAATCAATAAAAATCCCGCCTCCCAAGAGCAAGGCGGGAAAAGGTAGAATTTTTTAAAAGAAAAAGAAAAAAATAGTAATAATAAAAAGGAGACCAATAGACAGCAAAGGGCAGCAGCAGAATTCATAAGTACAAAAGGCAATGCAATGAGAAGCAAATAACAAAAATAAGATAATAAACATAGAAATGCACGCCAAGTTAAGAAGCAATAAGTTTTACTCCGCCTGCAGACCCTTTGACTGAGCTTCCCAGCGAAGTTGTTCTTCAAAGCTTTGAAGGTCCCGCATGCACGCATCAATCGCCTCCAACAAGGCATCCTTCGGTGAAGGAATAGGACGACCTGAGCCATCTGACGAAGTTTGCACGCGAAGCTCCACGCGGTGCTGCGTCGGGTGAGGCACACGGTATCCCGCAATATGTACCAGCGCATCCTCATGCAGCTTCATGCGGAGAAGGTTGGCTAACGTGTGATCCTCCTTCTCCAGTTTAAACAGTGAGGAATTCGGCATCTTGCTTGAGATTTCCTCAGTTATCTTGCGCGTGCCCTTCGTGTCTACCAAGCTATCGGCCGTGATGTCATTGTTATAAACCAGCATACCATGAGGAATTGACATCGTTCCTGACCGTCGAAGAAGTGCACACGGCAGGCCCTGTTTTGCTTTTTTCCTCTTCTATTCGCGTGTTTGAGAGAGTGTGTGTGTGTGTGTGTGTGTCTGTGTCCCCAGTGCTCTTCCCTTGCCAAATTTGTCTCCTTCCACAAGAGCCTCAGAAGCAGCTGCACCACACTACCACCGCGTGTCGGAAGCGGAGAGAAAGCAGAATAGCGCGAAACGGCAAATAAAGACGCAACGGGGTACTAGCAGCGCAGACAGCAGCACATTGCATGGGTGCCACACACGTAAGCGGCGGGTAGCCGCTGTGTGTATGTGCGTGCAGGGGCTCCCCCTCCCCGAATAAAACGATACGCCGCGATCAACCACGCGGCCACGAGGAGGCACAACCACCATCACCACCACAAGGGAAACCACCCACTACACACACAAAGCGAAAACTAGTAACACAGGAGGAACAAGAATAAAACAAAAAAGTATATATATATATATATATATATGTATATATGACAGGCTGACGAAAACAGTGAAATGTTTGCTTTTGTTTTATGCACTCAGGCACGCGTCAAGCTCCAGATGAGACGCATCAGAGAAGACCTTCCACGGAATACTCTCGTCCAGCCATTACTTCAGACGGGCAATGCGTTCCATCGTTAGAGTGATGCGGTGTTTGTTGCTGCTGCAGTGGCTGCCGCATCTCTGCGTAGCACAGGAAGTGGACCCTCTCGCCGCTTGAGGGCTCCTCCACGAAGAGCGCCCAGGGTGGGACGGGGTTGGCGCAAATGAGGCAGGGCGGCTGCTGCCACTCCAGCAGGCGAACTTTCCACGCCGTCGCCTCTGCCATCTCTACAGCAATCCTCCTCAGTGCCTCCTCGCAGTCCAGTTCCCGCAGTGCGTGACTCACGCATGTCGTTTTCTCCTCCTTGTCTTCGGAAACTTCTTCCCGGCAGGCGTGCGTCACCCTCAATGACACTGTGCGGCGTTCAATTTCTGCCGCAGTCGGTGTTGCAACCTCAGAAAGAAGATTTGCCCCTCCTTCCCGCAAATGGGGCACATAAGTTGCGTCGATAGCGCACGTGCGCCTTCCATGCTCGGTTGATAAATGAGACGCCTTTCCTGCCTCTTTCTTTTGTTCAACGGGCGTCCCGTTCTCCCCACATGACGCCTCCCGCCGTTGAGCAGCAGGCAGCCCCGACACCTCCCTCCGCTCCGGCGTCTGCACCGCACTACCAGGCATGCTGCCTATGAGTAAAATCTGATGCCTCTTCGAAACACTCCGGTCAGCTTTCTTCCGTGAAGGCATGAATGTGGATCTCTCCTTTGCTTGGGCTGCATTTCCCGTTGTGGTCGTTGACGCACATGCGTTCGTGGGAGACCGCGAGCATTCCCGCGGGGCGAAGCCACCAACGGTAACACGCCTCGAGCACGCGAGAGACGGGGGACCCCACGGAGCACCGCCCTTAGCGCCTCCAGAGCCGGACCTCCGCTGAGAGTGCAGAAATGTTCTACTGCACACAAACTTAGGTCGCTTTGTGGGAGTTGACTTGATCGGCGCAGCGTCCTTCTCACCCTGAAGCTGCAGTACTTCCGTCGAAGCAGCATTGCAGGCGGCGGCAGTAAAGGCCTGCGAAGGGAATAGTTGATCGCAGCTGGGTGGTGTATCCGCATCCACCGTTACCACCCACCCGAGGGCAACATCGCCCCCACCAGGCACATACCCCGTAATCGCGGCGGCGTCCTCGCATTCATGGCCGTCCATTGGCACAAAGCAAACAGACGGTGAACCACATAATTCACACGGAGGCGTGTACAGGACGCGGCGCGGCGTACGCCCTTTGTTTACAGCACTGAGAAGGTACGCCGCGCCGTCGGCGACCACATCGACCTGGACCAGCACCTTGTCCGCTTCGCCTCCCTCGTCAGCTTGGGCATCCAACTTCTCATCGCGTTTCCACGCCGTGAAGTCATGCACCCGCAGGTGCGACAGCCAAGGGGGCCACGCATTCGCCAAGGTTGCCGGCAGCAGCGTCGAGGGCGTGGGCGCTGGGCACGTCTCCCTCGTGCCCTTCCTCCACCTAGTCGCAGACACCATAATGCCCGTCTCCTCCTCAAGAAAAACATGCACGTCGTAATGCAAGCACACTAATAGCTGCGCAAGCGGCAGTGGCGGTGCGCCCTTCTCCGGGCCCACCAACCCAACGTTGCGCACTCGATACGGTGCGATGGTGACTTCAACCACCATCGGTCCTACGTGAACGACCCCGACCACCGGCACGAAGACACAGTACCGCGTGGAGCACGTTAGGTCCAGGCGCACTTTCACGCGTCTCTGCGAGGTGCTGCAGGCAACTGCAAGGAAATACCCCCGCGACTGCGGCACAAAGGCGATGGCGCAGTGCTCATCGATAACGATAGGATCACCGCTAAATGCTTCGGGGAACACCATCCTGTCGGCGCGGCCCGCGCAAAGAAGAAGGGGTGGGGAAAAAAAAAAGGAAGATGCCTTCTCGTACTTCGTGTACGCAACAGATTCGGAAGGGGAGTAGGGAAAGCGAAGACAGTCCCCTGTGTGCTCATGCCACTGTCTTCTTCCGCTTGCTTTTTTTTCCTTTTTCTTTTCAAAACTTTCATCCCCTTCCGCCTGGGCGTGTGTGTGCGGCGGCGGCGGGGGCGCTTTCTGCTCCACACCCCCGGGCAGACAACAATGGACTCAGAGCGGTGCGCCTCCGTCGCTACCGCCTCCTACTTCTTCGGGGTAAAGAGTTCTATCTGGACTATGTGGCGGCGGTCGAACACAACGTTGTGGTCGAAGAGGTAGCGTGCCTCGCCGTACGCGATGCCGGCGCCAACGCCGGCGGAGAACAGGATGATAGAGGAACGCGCCACAGCAGAGCGCGACATGAGAAGTGCCGGCAACACACCAACGGCAAGGCCCAGGGTGGTTTTGCGAATGAAGATCTCCATGCAGTGTTCCCACTTCTCCTCGTTACTGATGGGGCTCCGGGGCTGCAAGACCGGCTCCGTGCCCATCGCAGTGCCCGTCGTCGCTTTTTTCGCGTCGGCTTTTTCTTTGTTTCTATTTTTATTATTGTTGTTTTTTTTCCCCCGTCCTTCCTCCCTTTTCCCCACCCCCGCTTCTTCGGTGACTACAAGGGGCGTGCGTGCGTGCGCGTGTGTGTGTGTGTGTATTTGTGTGCGGTGTATGCGGGCTGCCCCGCTAGTTCCTTTTCCCTCACCGAATGCCAACAGCGATTTCTGCTGCCACGCAAAAAGCAAAAAGCAAAAAAAAAAGAAAAAGAAAAAGAAAGACCTCTCCTTATAAAGGAGTGCTCGCTTTCTCCTCCTCGCTCCCTCTCGCAACCGCGGCAAGGCAAAGGCGAGAAAAAGCGGCGTCATGTGCGGCAATGATGCAGACAGGCACACACAGGGAGATGACAAGCGGGAGAGAGAGGCGGCTGGAGAGGTAAACGTAGAGTTCGTTAAGGAAGAGTGCAGTTGGTTTCCATTCCTTACAACGACAATAAGCACAGCAGCAACCGCAGGCAGTGCCCAAAATAACCCTCGCTTCCCAAGAAGCGGCGCATGCGAAGATGCAATGAAAACGCACCCTCACCCTCACCCTCACCACCACCGCCACCTCCTCCCTCTCCCGCGCTTACTCCACCCACACGCACGCATTTCATCACGCAGCGATGGTAGTTTCTCCTTCCCTCTCAGGTGACTGCCAGTGGCTTTAGGGCCAATCGGAAAGGCAGAATTAGGGCTCAGGGGCGCCCGACTCCTCCTGCTTTGCCTCTTGAACGGCCACCAGTAACCGCTCAAGATATTGTGCCTGCTCCTTCCCGTGTTTTTTCTCTGCCTCCTTCAGAATGGCCTCGGCCTCGTATGGGCGGTCATACATCATGCAGTAGAGAAGGGCGCGAATCGCCTCGGACTGCGCCAGCTCGGTCTTATCGACGGCGCGGGCGTAGCCCATCGCATGCAAAGCTCCCTGGGGGTTACCAGCGCCGACGCATATGTGAATAAGAAGGCTGAGCATACGCGGCGACAGGGGCTTCTGGCGTGGGACGAGCTTGGGGGGAGAGTAGCTCACAGCACCGGACGAAGCGGCAGAGCCCGTTTGCAAGATACGCCCTTCCGCCTCGTCCTGCACCAAATCCGTCGCCCAGCTCAGTGCGGAGAGCCAGTGGACCTGTGACATCTGCTTCCTCTTCAGCGTCTCTGGCGTTCGGCGCGCGTCTGACGCGGAAATGGCACGATTGTGTGCCAAGACACACACCAGCGCCGCCTCCATGGCCTGCGGCGTCAGGGCAACTTTGGCCGGCACAAAAGACTTCTGGAGAATGTCTACAACCAAAGAGGGCTGCCGCGCCTCCCGCATCTGCAATACGAGTGCACTGGCCACCTCACAAGGCAGCGGGATCGGCGACATGGAAAGCAGCACCGAAGAGGCGAGGCGCCACTCCGCCTCCTCTGAACACTTCCGCAGCAGAGCCGAGACAACGAGTGGATGGCGCAACATTGCAGTGGCGAGGGTGTCACGGTACATGGTGGCCGCCTCGCTCAGAAACCTTGTCGCTGTCTTCGCCGAGGGAAGTTTGCCGATGATGGTGGCAAGAAAAGGAACCGCCGTCTCGGGTGCCTTGGCAAGCAACTGCAAGCTCTCTCTGACAACAGGCGAGTTCAGCGGTGAAAGCTCCAGCGCCTTTCGTGGTTGCTCCCCCACCGTAGCCGTTGTCGGTGTCGGTGTCGGTGTCGGTGGTGTGCTGCCGCCGCTTGAAGACGCCAGCGCGGGCGCGTCGTGGGCCATCATGAGCTGCATGAACGCTTCGCACGGAAGCTGCCGCGTCGCGGAGAGAAGCGCCTCGGTTTTCTCCTGCGTTGTGTACGTCGTGCTTGCCACCAGGTGCGTGAGATGCGACGTACACATTTCGTTGGACACGGCCGTCTGCCACGGCACCGCGGCCACCACGTCACTTAGAACCGCAAGCACCCGCTTCTGCTCGGGGGTTGGACCTGCACGGTCAGATATCAGCGCATTCGCGGCGGCGCTCACCGTCGCGGCATCCGTCCCCACGGGCCGGAGACTTTGAATGCAGTCGGGCAGTAGGTTAGGCGCCTGCGCGTGCACGTGACCCAGCAGCGCCATGGCCGTCTGCCACGCCGAGGGAGTTGCACAGCAGCCGGCCGCGTCGACGAGCATAGGGATCGTCAGCTTCTCGTTGGCCTGGCTGAGCTTAAGCAGTGCGACGGCGGCCGCCCACTGACGCTGCGGGGCCAAGAGGCGAAGCGCGGAGATCGTCATCCGCGTCGGAACCGCGTTGCCGTGTGCCAGAATCGCCTCGGAGTACGTTCGCAGGGCGGCGCTCCAGGGCACCAGGTTCCCAGAGCCGCGGCGCCGCACGTACTGGTTGTGCAGCAGCATCCGCGCCAGCAGCGCACGGTAGGTGACGAGGGCGATGGGCTGCGCGTGGTACGCCGCGTCAAGCAGCGCACACCCCTTTTCCCACGTGATGGAGCCGACGGCGCGCGAAAACATATCGGGGCGACGCACGAAGAGCTCCCGGTGTTCGTGGTAGAGCGGCGACATGTGTGTGACGGGGCTGCGCTCCAGGCGCTTGAGGAAGTCCTCGAAGGTGTACCCCGAGTTCACAGGCGGCATCCCGCATCCGGCACACTCCGTGAGGTCTACACGCCAGTCGCACACGCACACGTGCGGGGCAGCAAAACAACAACAACAAACAAACAAACAAACAAATAAAAAGGAAAGGCAAGAGGGTAGCCGGGGTCACGTTCACACGTCAGCGCAGCCATGCAAAGAATGAAAACAAAAACCAAAACAAAACGAAACAAAAAAAGACCACAACAAACAGCCACAACGAACCTCAACGGCGAGGAAGACGACGGAAGAGGAATAATGCAAAAGAAGCACTACGCCTCCACTCAGGTCAAGTCGCACAGCGCCCCCCGCAGCCATTTTGCTGCTACCAGACACGGTAAAAGAGATTCCAAGGCGGAACCGATTCCTTGCGCTCCCGCCTCGCATTCAACTGGTTCCAAAACAGACGGTGCTCGGAGGCCGTCATGGCAAGATTAAACAGTGAAAACAACAAAACCCCCAGTGGGGTCGCATAACTTGCCGCCAGCAGCAGCGTGCCGTAGGCTCCTTTCGAGCGCCACACCTCCAGCATCGATGCGGCATCGTGGGAGGTCAATGTCCACAGGCTAACAGCATTTACAACGTACATTAGAATCTCACAGGCATAGTGCGGCTCCAGCACGTAGGCAAACAGACATGCATTGGGGAAACGGTAGAAGGAGCCAGATGCCGCGGCGGATGCCTCAACACCGGAACACACCTCATCGGCGTGTCGCTTCCTACCCGAGATGGGCGCTTCGAACGAAGCAGACGAAGCCCTCGGTGCACCCCGTAGCCTTGCCAAGATGCCGTGATGCAGCCCCTGCAGCCTCTGCAGGAGCAAGTGCAAAAGAAAGGCACCCACCGTCGTTACTGGCACAACAGGAAAGGAACGACTCCCTGCAACACTTCCCAAGACGCGGGAAGCGGCAGGCTTCTCGGCTACCGCGCGGGCGACGCTGCAGATAACGGGGCTACTAGAGATAACCGCGAATACGTAAAAGGAGCACCCCGCGAGTGCGGCAAACAACGTCACCGTATCCTGCGGTCCACCTCGAAAGCGATGCACCTGGAGACACTCCCACAGGCGCACCGCACAATGAATAAAGAATGCCGCCAGCGGCAGCGACTCGTAACAGCTTGCGGCAACACGCGACGAAGCCCACGTCTGCCATAGCAGGAAGGCAGAGACGATACCCGTCAAGTAAAAGGCACAAAAACCGCACTTGCGACCTACACGCACACGACACAACATGGAACCCTCCAGCGCACGGACAGCAACCGTCACGCCGTTCCAGAGCCACCCTCTGTGCTCCGTGGGGCTTACCCTGTCCTTGCAAACAACATGCACGCCCGCACGCTTCCCAGCTGCAGCGATATTATTATTATTATCACCATCGGCGGCGGTTGAGCCCTTTCCATGTCGACCACCGTAGCGTACCAAGCCGCGCATGTGCGGATCCACGACGCGCAGCAGGAGAATCAACACAGCCAGCACCCAGTAAATGCATGTCACGCATAACAGCAGCACACACGTGGTGCCGCGCATTCTCCTCAGCGCGAAAGACGGAGCTAACAGCAGAAACAGACCCTGACCACACAGACGGCAGTGAGTGGTGCTCTGGCGGCGGCGGAGCAGCTATTGCCCTCACCTTCACTAATGGGCAGGAAAATAAAGCAACTAAAAAAGTACAAAAAAACAGACCGACTCGTTTACACAACAAGGATACAGCCACAGCCGCACAGCTACTACCCGCAAACTCCCGGCTATTTCTTTTCCTTGTCACACGTTAATTTACCTAAAGCCACTAATAAGCCACAATAGTTTGCAAAGTTCTTTCTGAGGTGCAACTCTCCTTCGCCGGCTGATGCAAGAACTACACACACTCACGCCCGCACTCTCGCTCTCTCTCTCTCTTGCTCACATTCATTCACCCCAACTGCGTACCCCTTTTCCTATTCGCCCTTTTTACATCAATACACGCAATTCCTCGCCTCCTGTGAGCGTGGAGGAAATTTGACTACTCCCCTCCACCCCCTCCCTCCTTAAAAAAAAAAGAGAAAAAAATTGTTTTCGTACTATTCCCACGATGCCAACGCCGCTGCCATGTGCGAGACCTGTTCCGCAGCGTCATGGTGTCGACCCCCTGCGCTCCACACACTCACGCGCAGACGCACACGGGGACGGACTACGGTCCTCTGCGAAAGCACCCTGACGCCCACTCACCTCAACTCTATGTCCCTTCATAGGGAAAATCTTCGGAAACCCCAATAACATTTTTTTTTTTTCGTTTTCCTTTTTAATTGTCAGCCTCTGTTCAATCCAATACGTACCCCCTTTTTGTTGTTCCCTGAATTCTACACATTCCTCGCATGGCGCCGGTAGCGGGCGTGCGGCATGCAAGAGGGCTAGTGATGATGCTCCGGGGGAGTTCGGCGGCGAATATCCGGCTGCGGATCCCCCGGCTCCCAGAGGTAGCTTGCGAGGAAGTTGGACCCGCCCCAGCGAACCTCCAACTTATTGTCCGCCACCTCCTCACGCATCTTCTCGTACTTGATCGCGTGGTCCGGGTCGTCGAGGTCGAGCTGTCTAAAGAACGTGTTCGAGTACAGGGCCCGCTTGCCCACGTTCCCCACACGTGTGCGCTGGCCAATGGTGACGTCAAAGAGCCAATAGAGCGAGATGGGGAAGAGGAGCCCGTACATGAAGAGGACCTGACTATTCCCGTCCTTCACCTTCGCAAACGGCTGCCCCCACCAGCCAGGGTTGATGGCGATGGGGTAAAATGCCGGGGCGTTGCCGTCGCCGTGTTGCCCCGGCACACGTGCGTACTTTCGGCACACGCGCGACATCATGGAATTTCGCCGCGACTGCATCGCCGCCGCCGCCGCCACCGTGCAAACGACGCTCAGGACTCCTACCACTTCACACTCGCCGTGGAACTGCAGTGAACGCAGCCACCCTGAAAAAAAAAAGCCAAGGAAGTAGAAATAACGCTCGAATCCATAAAAGAGGCAGACAGACAAAGAGAGAGAGAGAGAGAGATAAAGGAAAGGACACGCAAATACAAACAGAAACATATAACTACAGGGAGTACGTCATATATAAATTGCGCGTCCTGGGGTCGACACGACGCGGAACTCTGGTAAAAGCACGCCAGCAAGAAACGTAAACATCGTCACACACACACACACACACACACACATGCATGCATGCACACCGATCAGAAGAAACGGCAACTAGGTGAAAGAATATATATAGAAAAAAGACCGAGTTTTTTTTTAACCCCGCGTTTTTCTTTTTTTAAATTAGCTCGCTCTTTAAAGGCAAAAAACAGGGTGGGAGACGAATAAAACATCGCCAGCCCAAATACGACTCGGGTGGCAATTCTATATGCATCAATGGATATGCAGCTTGACAAAACCCACCGCGCGCCAATCCGGTGCAGAGTAGTTTCCCTGCAGAGTTAACAGGGCGCAGCGCGCCAGAAGCATCACCTTCCGATTGAACCCGCGAGAAATATAAATAGCACGTCTTATACATCTCAGCGGCGGTTTTCTCCTGAACCTCTAAAGAAGCTCAAATCAGGTTCCAAGGAACCATCACGGATAATTGATACAGGAGCGCTTCCAGCACCCTTGCCCTGACGGCGACTTACACTGCTCTCAGGCGGTGTCGCTGCAGATGATGCTAGCGGGCGAGGAGGAACCGTGGCAGGTGCGGGCTGAGCGGCACGGCAATCCACCTCACTCGAGCGCTCACGCGCTTTCATAAGACATGGCGGGGCATTAGTGGATTCTACCCTACGGCTTTCAGAGTTGTGCGGCGCCATATCCGGCAATAACCCAGTATTGTTTAAACTGGCTTGTTGATGAAACCGAACACGATCGTCCACCGCCAGGGTTATCTCTGCAACGATATCCTTCAAGAACTCATCTAGTTTAGCTATAGTTTGCGCCTCAGTGCGCTTCGTGTGTTTGTGCAGTTTTGGTGCCACAACTGCCTCTACAAAAGATCGGAGGGCGTCTTCTGGAAAGTCCACGGACACCTGGTGGCGGGAAACTCGGTGTGGCTTCTCATGTTGCTGCAGTTGTAGTTGCTGCTGGGCCGATGAGGCCTGTTGTGCAGTAAGTCTCTGCTCTAATTCGCGGCGTCGCTCAGAAGCCTGTTGAAGAAGTAATCGCTTAATCATGGTCAAATCTTCTCGTTGGTGGTTCATGCTCTGCGTGAGGGAAGCGACGGCCTGCTCCAGGGCACATAGGCGTTCGTTGAACCCGCGCGAAACTTCTACGGTACCAGCAGCTGGGGCCACATGTGCCGGCGTTACACCTTCTAATCGCTCCCCTGCAACGGCGTATTGGGGACCTCTATTCATATAGTTACTTCCCTGCCGCTCTGCGGGACCACGTAGGTTCGGCGACGCGGACTCTTCCTCGGCGTACTCGTGCGGAAACGCCGCCATGGGCTCCTGTGGAACGTATAGTAACATATTTTTCTTGGGCGAGACCGTCTTTATGGGGTGCAGTGCCCGGATGTCTTCATCCAGCTCCTTGAGCAGCACACTCATCCGCGCCGCGGAGGCTCCTGCTTGTTTGGGGACCGTCAACTCCGCGGTGCGGGCCCCGCGAAACCGGGCCCCGGGGTCGTTGGCGAAGAGAACGACGTTGTTCATGTACGTTGGCCCCGGACTAAAGGTCTCCAATATCTTGACGCGAACAAACAAGTGGTTGGGGGGAATCGCATTCGGCAACTTCCACACCTGCGTTCCGGCCCCGGAGACGGCCTGGCACACCAGCTGCGCCACCATGTCGTCGACGGACTCCCCCGACGCCACCTCCACCGTCTTCGGGTTGGTGAGGTAGTCGTGCCAGACGTGCCAGCCGACGTACCGCAGGGGCGGGTGGGACTCCGCCAGTTTCAGCGTCACGTGCTGTGGCGCGTCGGAGGTGATCCAGAGCAGATCCTCGCGCTCGACAAGCAGGTTGGAGGCGGCACTCGCCACATGGGCCGCCTCGTGTGATACCTCTACCACCTTGGCCCCATTTTCGCCCAAGGCCCAGTTTTTCTCCGCCATGGAAGCCCGGGGACGTCCTGCCTGCAGCAGATGAGGATGAGGCGCGGTTGATTACAGAGGCACTCAGTGGGTTGTGGGAAATGGTGAATAGGGGTGTTGGAAGAGGTATTTGCGTGGCAGCAACAAGGCGGTGAAGGCACAGTCAAACGAGAGAAAAGAAAAAGAAGAAGAACATAACTCAAACGAAACAAACAGAAAAAAAACAACAACAACAACAAAAAAATAATAATCATTGTACAAACAGGGAGGTGTGCGTGTGCGCGTGTGTGTGTCCCCCTCTCACTGTGCGTAGGGGGTTGAAATCCGGAAAAAATACATACATGCGAAGACCGATCACCCGTGAGAAAACGGAAGGGGTATAGGTAATAAAAGGAAAAACCAAAACGACGACGACTACAAAAACAAAAAAAATGGGGTTAAATACCGTAGACTCCTGAGTTATATACAAATACAGATAGGGGGAGCTTCCCCTGTACATAGCGGTACATTACCTCTTCGTTTCTTTGTTTTTCCCCTCCATTTGCATCCCGAACACCTTTTTCCATCCGCAGCCTTCTCTTGCCATCTCTTTCTCACACACACAGTCTTGCGCTTCAGCCCTGCAATCAACTCTGAGGAGCAACATGCGATAACTTCTTCTACACGCGTGTGTAGACGGCGTTGGGCGTTCCTTGCTTCATCGGTTTTTTTTTCTCCTTTTTTTTTGTGCGTGTGCTCCGTTACAAACGATACGCGTATCGCCCAGGAACGGGTCGACCCATCAACCTCGGCGAAGCTGATCTTGTTGGAGAAGGAAAACTTTTTGGTTCACCGGGGGAAAACGCTGAGGCCGATTCATACCCCGTCGCCTGGGCTCGCCTGGTCTGTGCCAGAGACGCAAAGAAGTTTGCTTGCGAGGCTAGCACCTCACCGTACCCCTTCTCGCGCTTTACCATCAGTGCTGTGTTCGGCAAGAGGTTAGGCGCACTGGTGATATAGTTATTATTATTGACGGTGCCTGGAAGGGGCGCAAAGCTTGGCACCACGTGGAACCACTGCCTCCTCGCCCCCGCCGCCACTGGCCAGCTGGGTTGCTGGTCGGCAGAGATCACGGCGTTATTGGCTACCCCTGCCACTCTGCTTGCTATCGGTTGCGGTTGCCGAATGATGCCCTTCTGCGGCTCCCGCCCAGCGTACAAGGCACACATCTCGGAGGTAATTATGGGTGGCTTTTCCTCAAGCTTGGAGGCAAGCTTTCGAAGAAAGAGGAGTGGCGGGGGTCCCGCTTTAGGCTTTGGCGCCTCCGTGGGCTCCACCTTCAGAGTAGCTGCTGCATCTTTGGCTTTGGACTTGATGCCGCTTTTTACATTCTTTCCCCTTCTTGCGGGGGATGGACTTTTCGTTGCAGTGGACGTGGTGAGTGGAGTGAGCAGCGGCACGCGCTGCTGGAAAGCTTTTTTCCTTGAAAAGCTCATCTCTTCATTCGCCAAGAAGCCTACCGAGGACCCACTTAGTATACTTCCATGCGACCCCGAGAGCTCGGCAGTGGCGCGTCCGCGCCGGCTCCCCGTTGCTGTAGAGCGCTCATGCGACTGGATACTCCCGGCGTGCTTCCGTCGGAGGGACGAGGCACTCTTGTCCCGTGCTTGGCCCTTTTCAATCCCCAGGCTGGGGTTTTTGACGCGCTTTTCCGGTGGCACAAAGACACTCATGGGCGGCAGCTTTGCCACCACAATGGAGGACAAACCAAGAGCCTGCATCTGCAGTGTGCGGGCGCACAAAAGAATCGAGTTTTGTATCGACTTTGGTAAAGAGTTAAACTCTGTCCGTATATGCAGGGTTGGTATGGCCCAAAGCTCTACGGTGGTGCTCGTCTCCCACCCGTTCGGCCACTTCTCCACAAGTAGTCCCTCCCATCCACCACCGACGGTGCAAAGAAAGTTTTTTGTGGGGTTCGGCGGCAGCGGCGGTGCAAGTTCCTGCTGTTCGTCCGGGTACGTAATGCCATTCAAGAATTCACCCTGGTTGCTGCCCCGGAAAAAAGTCCAGCGGGGCTGCGCGGGTTCCAAGCCGTCAGACGCCGATCTGGAGTTACTTTGGTAATGATACCGCCCTGCCAACGCGGTTTCGTGTGCTTGTGGCATGTTTGACGTTCCCTTTTCCCGTTCGTGTCCTGCAAAGACGTTTTTGGTGTTCCGCTCCTTCTTTCCCTTTGGATGCGCGTTTTCCGGCGTCTCCTCCGCCTCCGTGACGGGGGGCGACATTGGCAAGGTAGGTGCGCGGTTGAGCTGCCGCGGATCCTGCACCTCGCCCGCCGTCAGCAGGTAAATCTCCCGAACGGCCTGCGCGGGCTCGCATATTGAGGTACACCGCTCCACCACACGGGCCTCGGCGGCGTTCGCAATGTTATGAAGGTTCGCCCCCGACATTTCCTGCAGCAGCGGCACCCTGACCAGGGCCTCTGGGGAGAGCCGCATCGAGCGGCGTATCTGCGCCTTCAGATTGGCCCGGATGCGGAGAAAAAGTTTGGCGTCATCCAGCAGGGCGTCCACGAAGCGGTCGCCTTTGACCCTGAAGAAAAGTGCGGCACGGCTGAAGACGGAGCACTTGTAGCGCAACGGCGCCGGCAAAATGTGCGGCTCCTCGCCCAGGAGCACGAAGCGTGTGCTGAGGGAGAAGCTGTTCTCCGATTCATTTGGAGAGAGAATTTGCGATGTGCCACTTTCATACGTCATGTCCTCCCCCAGCTGCTGCCGCTGCACCTGGCCCTCCAGAAGGCAGTAGATGTCGCCAGGCGGCTCGCCCTGCTCAAAGAGAACGTCGCCCTTTGTTAGCACTAACGGTGTGAAGTCCTTTGCGTACACCCCAATATCCCGATCGAGGGCGCGGTAGATCGGCACACGCGTCATGCACTCGGAGGCGTGGTAGTTCCGCAAGAGGTGCTCCATGTGGTGCTGCTTCAGCGCGCCTAGGTAGACGCGCTTCATGGCTTCGTCGGCGTACCTGGAGAAGAGCGCCTCAAAGTCGTCGCGCGGGATCACCCAGACAACGCACTGCGAGATGGCCCTGTACACCTTGCGGTACACCTCCCTTCCGCCGTAGAGACCGCCAAAACTAGCTCCCACCGAGAGCCTCGTGCGCCGCACCGTGCCAACTGCCTCGCCGGGCGGGGTGATGGCGTCGCACTTGCCGGAAACGAGAATGTGCAGCGCGTCCTGCGAGGGCGCGCCGACGGCGGCGATCGCGTTTCCGGCGGGGTGGCGGTAGCGAAGAACGACCTCCGCAACCTCCTCACAGAACCGTGGGTTCCCCAGAGAACGGAAAAACTCGCAGTTTTCCCAGATAAAGTTTCCTTGTGGCTTTAGACCGTCGTCGTCACGTAGCGGCTCCGGCCCTTTGCACTGCGAGCGACGAAAAAATGTCTTCCCCACCTCCTTTTCTCCACGCCTCCGCAAAATTACAGGCAACAGCAGAAACTCAAGCGTTGCACGAAGGCGCTGCCGACGAAAGGCCTCACGCCAGGCCTGATGCGCCCGTACGGCAATAACAATCACGCTCCACATGCATGCGCGTTTTAGCCGCGCCGCGAAGGGAACTACGCTGCTCTTTGAACGCAGCTGACCCAGCACATCCGTCAAATCCGAGAAAGACACATCCGCCTCATCCAAGTTTAAAGGCGAAATGAGTGAAATTGTGGAGTTCAACAGCGAACTATCCCCGGAGTTTCTCCGAAGGATTTGGTTCTCAAAGGCAGTACCATCGACAAGCATAAGCGGGTAGGTTTGAACCATGTCGACCGCCCTCTCAAGACCCTCTGCAACGCCACCCCTGACGCGAAGACTGCTGCGTCTGGAGTTCCTTGGGTAAGTTGAGGAGCGGCACGAGGCGGCAAGGTCCGCGTCGGTGTTTCGCAAAAGAACGGACGCTGCAAGTGAGCGGCGTCTGTCGGTGGAGGCGTCAAGCGTCTCTGCCGGCGGGGGCAGAGGGATCGGCGGCGCAAGTGATATCAGCGTGCTATTCTGAGCGCCATCAGATGTGGGCGGAGCTACGGAGCTACTGCCCAGCTCCTGCTCCTGCTTCCCCTCCTCTTGCCTCTCGGGCTGCGGCTGCTGCGGCTGAACACCCTCACTCATTGGATTCGCATCCATTGCTTTCCAACAACTTCCCACTTTTCCCTATCCCTATCCCCTCTCTCTCTCTCTCTCCCTCTGCGTGTGTGAGTGTGTGTGTACTCCACACGAGGGAAGAGCGATGAGTGTGAAACACAAGCAAACCGAGGATGAGAAGAAAAAAACATGCATGCACGACAAAATATACCACCAGACAAACGGAGAGACACGTGCACGCGCCAGCGAGGACGTCACAGGGCCCTCCCGGTGCAGCAAGGAAGAACCCAAAGAAAGAAAAGAAAAACTGCAGACAAGCAAACCAACACAAATACAGGCATATATACTTCTTCTGGTTGCCCTCTTGCTTCTGCAGTTTTTTACCCTGCGTATTCTCCTTCTCCTTTTTTTTCTGCGTCCAACTTCTTCCTTTTCCCTTTTTCTCGCTGCCGCGGGTGAAAGCCAACCGCCGCTCTCTTGTGCCGCCTTCAGCGTCGCCCATGGGCATTAGGGGAACGGGGCGGCTGAGCAGCACCGCAGTGAAGCACCTGAACCGCGTTCACGCGCCCCGCAGAAACCGACTACGGCAGCCCATCCTCGAAATCGGCCCCGCCCAGTTCTTCTTCCTCCAGGGCGGCCCGCAGGGCGGAGTCCATCTCCTCGCGGTCCAGCTTTCGCCGCTCCTCCTCAAGCTCGGGATCGGCTGCGGTGTACCGCATCGAGCGCTTGGCGTCATTGTGTGTGACGTTGAGAAACTGGATGCGACGCTGCAAGGCCAGCAGCGGCTCAGAGGTGGAGTACACGTCCACGGTGTCGCTGCTGATGAGGTGGCCCTTCTCGTGGTCAATGACGGCGTCGATGACCCCGTCGCGAATGGCCTTGGCAATAATGTACTCTGCATCCGCAGGGTTTTCCATGGAAAGCTTGAAGCAGATATCAGGTATGCTAATGCGGCTGTACGCGTGACAAATACGTCGCAGCCCTGTCTTAATTACATGTTGCCGTACCCGCAAAATGAGGGAATAGGTGCGGTCGTGTTCAAATATGCTTTTGTGCTGCTGCAGAATAGACATGAACCGGCTCAGCTGCCCAAAACGCACACAAGAGGCAAGTTGCAGGTACGGCGAGAGACTATCCCGCATATCTTTCTGCAAAAAGTCCGAGCGGGGCGGAATCTCGCCTAGCAGTAACTGGACCACGAGGGAAAGCTTGATCGCCGCGACGCGAAAGCCGAATGCACGCTCAGGAGCCTTGCGAAGCGCCTGCTGCAGGCACTGATTCGCATCAACGTACTCCAGTCGAAGGGCGCGCGTGAGACCGACGTAGTAAAAGTACCGCGCCGCCTGGTTGTTGGAGCGATGCGGCAGGCTGATCTCGCAGGTGGCGATGACACTCTCCGCCATATCATGCTGGTGGTTGCGTGTAAGGAAGGCCAAAATGTCATTAAGAATGATTTCCTGCCCCACCTCGTCGTGACGCACGCAGAGCGCACGGTACAGCCTCATGAGACGCCCGAGCAACTCGCACTTCGCCTGGTTGGGCGGCGGGGCTGGCTGCGCATGCGCAGACGGGATGAGCAGCGGCATATCGCACGAGGGCAACCCACACAAGCGGCAAAAAGGGCCAACCAATAAAAATGGCTACCGCAGGACGCGGACGATGAACTGCCTACAAAAAAAAAAAACAACTACAAAACAGACACTGCTGGACGCTCTTGCTAGTTGACGCACACACGCACGCAAGCAAACGTGTTTGTGAATGAGAGTGGGCAACGGTAACAAAAGAAGAAGCGGGAGAAGGAGAAATAAAAGAGGCGTAAATGCGACTGCTAAAGTTTACCCCCCCCCCTCTACTCTACACGCACACACACACACACACACAATCCCACAATGGATCATGACGACCAGGAAGTTGCAGGACAACCCGCATCACACAACGAAGTCAACATTAATGCCGAGAATGTGCCCCCAAGTCAAGCGGACCCACAGGACACCGTTGCATTCATGAGTCAATCGACGTGTTTATTTAATCTCAGTTTTCTTTTCCGTTTTTTTTTCTTTACCCCTTCTTGTTTTTCGCCGCGCCGCACCACCGCAGCCGTGTTTGGTTCATTTGCTTCGTGCAACACGCGGCGCCTTCACTCTGTTCCACTTCACTGCCTCCGGGTGCGTCCTCTTCGACGGGGGTGGCGCAGGCGCGGCGGTGGCGCGGTCAAGCCACTCCTCCGCACGCCGCCGCTTTTTTGACAGGCCCTTGCGGTTCGCGTCGAGCAGTTCGGCGAGTTCGCCGCCGTCCAGGTCACCCGGGGCCTTCGTGCCTCCCAGCGCCGTTTCGCCGGCGACGTCCGCGTCCTCGTAGTCCTCCTCCTCCTCGTCGTAGTCCTCCGCGGCGTGCAGGTCGTCGTACGCCGCCTCGTCGTTGCTGCCCCACTCCAAGTCGCCCTCACTTCCGGCGACGTCGAAGTCGTCGCCGTCGCCGTCTTGGCTGCCGTCGCCACTGCCGTCGCTCGCCACTTCCTCGTCAAACTCCACCGCCTTGGCGGCGTGCGGCTGCTCCTTCTCGGACCGCTTCTTCTTCTTCGCCTTGGTGCCGTCGCCGCTGGCCTCCCCCCCCAGCATACCAGCGGGCCCAAAGAGCGAGGCGTCGACGTTCTTCACCCGCAGCGCCACATCCGCCTCTCCGCTGGCGTCGCCCCACGTGGAGCGGACCTGCGACAACCCGTCAAGGAAGCGCTGCCGCTGAACGGCGTAGCGGTGCAGAAACAGCGCAGACACGTCCACCTGCTGCGCACTTGCATTGATAAAGTATGGGTCCGAGGCACTAGGAATGTTCGGAGTGTGCACCACACGGCTGAAGACGGACATTCCTGTGCTCACCTCCTCCTCCTCCTTTGGCTGCGCCCGGGCGTCAACAAAAATCGTGAGAAAGTTTGGCAACGTAAGCTCATCTAACGGGTGGCTATCAAAGACGACGTCCTCGTTGAACATCAGCATCACCGCCAGTTTCACGACCGATGGATGGGAGTGTCGTGCAAGTGTACCAAGGGTCCACAGGGATTCCTTTGTGGCATGTGAAAACTGTGGTTCACGGCATCGTACATCGTAACGCTCCGCCGCAGCGTCTAAGGGCTTTTTTCGCGTCCCCAGAACCAACGCCCGCAGACGCGGATGCGCTTGGAACATCTCGCCCACCAGCAGCAGGATGGCGCAAACCACAGAATCGCTAAAGTACAAAGAGCGTTGTAGCAGTCGGTGTGCAAAAGCTGCCAGGCGCTCCTCATTCTTGTCCATGCGTAGCGCCTTGTGAAGCATGGAAAAGAAGCCTGCCATTTGTGTAGAGTGTGAGAGCTGCTTCGGCGAGATCAAGAGTAAATTATACAGCGCCCGATACCAACGATTCTGGAACGCCGTCGTTGCACCTTTTCCATGGGATATAAGCTGCAGCAGCGACATAGTCGCCACGCGCTGTATAAAAGTTCCCGTGTTGGCAAGCACAAAAAGCGCATTCAAATGTTCTTCAAGTGGCGCGATGTCCGTCCCAGCGTAGGGAAAGGCGCGGCGTAAGCCGACGAGGATGGCGGTGGTCACGGAAAGATCCACCGAGGCGTTCATCACAAGCTTGCGAAAGAGCGCAAGATACGTTTGAACACTCTTCAAGGCAAGCTTGCGCTCCTCCTTGGTGTACACAAATTGATTCATCACATTGGCAGCATACTTCATCGTGGCGACAGGGCAGTTGTTCATAAAAATGGCCTTTTCCAACTCCACAAACAACGTCGCCTGGTGCGTCGAAGACTCCTTTAGAAGGGAAAGCAAGTGATGGTATGCTTGGTGCGCCACACGGGAGGTGGGATCGCCGAGTTTATCCACAATAAGCGCCATCGCCACATGTCGGCCCTCAGCAATACTACACATCAGTTTCCCTACAACCTCCAGCCAAGCCTCGCGTCGCTTCTGCAGTCTATCCTTCAGCATGGACTCCGCCAGCGAAAGAAACTGGGCGTAGGTGCGCTTTAAGTAATCCTCAATGTACCAATAGACCAGGACTGTCTTTCGCCCCTTTGCATCTGTAGGAAGGGTCGTGAAAAACTGCGTCACAAAGCGCTTCAGTGGACGATGGGGCAAAAGTTTGGGCCAAACCACAGCAAGGGCCTTGAGGGCCGCCTCGTAGTGGTGTGTGTCGGTGCGTGCGGTGTCAAAGAGCAGGTTAAAGCCGTCCAGGAAGAACATGAAATCCACATCGCTCAGCTTCACTGCGGCGGAGGCAATCTTGTCCGCGGTTGTTCCACGCGAGATAAACTGAGAATTGTACCAGCGTCCCTTGTCGGTTTGACTCTGCGCCGTTTCAGCGTCGAGGGCCTCCTGCGCTTCACAGAACATCGCATCCATTTCATCCTTCGTCACCGCACTGTTTGCAACCTCCTTTAGGCTGCAGGAGCGCAACGGCAGCGACCGCTCGTACCACCGCTTATTGAGGTCCAACACACTCTCTGCCGCTGCTGCCATTGCCCCTCCGCTCCCCTTTTTATTTATATTCTTATTTATTTTGTTTCCTTTTTCTTATGTATACCCTCCCTCCTCGTTCTTGCTGCTTGGCTGTGTGCTGCTTCTTTGCTTGCCACCCTCTCTCTCCCCCTCTCCCCACGGTGTGGCGCGTTTATTTCAGCCTCGGGCACTGCCTGAACGCTGCCAGCACCCGACACGGAGGGAGCAGGGCCTCGCTACTTCAGTTAACCTCAAAGCGGTGAACACAAGGGGCATCAGTAAGTAAAAAAAAACAACAACAACGTCGGATGAGTGGGGAGGAGGACACACACACACACACACACCCACACGCAGGGACGCAAACTTGAGGGAAAGGGACACGCTCCCCTTGGCTGCCGCTGACGACGGCGCGCGGGTTTCGGTTTGACGCACCCCGCTGCACTCCGCTGAAGACGAGGGATGCGGGAAAAAGCGGGGGGAGGCGGCGGGGGCCGGCTGAGTCCTCTCCCCCACCCCCGTCCGTAACACCTGAGAGCAAACCGACACCAAAAACCAAACACACAAACAAAATCCTCTACCTCACTTCATTGAGTCCTTCAACGCGGCGAGACGTGCCTCAAGCTCCTTATCATCCTCCGCATCCTCCTGCTGCCTTGTTGGCAACATCGCGTCGGCGATGCCCATTTTGCTCTTGAACTCTAACCCGACCTCGTCCATGACCTTCTGGATCTCAAGCTCAGTTTCGCCCTCCTCCTCGCCATCGTCGTCCATCACGTCGTCGACTACGTCGTTCATCATCTCCTCCTTCATTCCCATCATTTCATTTTGCTTCTCAAACTCCCGCATGACGCGCTGCATCTCGGGGATGTTCATTCTGCTGTTCATGCTGCGCATTGCCTTGGTCACGCCCTTCATCGCCGTTGCCATCTGCCCCGTGGACTGCATTGTCTGGATCCGAAGAGCGACGCCTTGGATTTGGGTGCGCATGCGGTACATCTTCTGTTGATACTTCCGAGTCCGCACCAGGTCGCGTGCCAAGATGCGTACCGAGTCGATCTGATCCTGCTTCGCCATCTTCTTCATGTCAATAACAATTTTGCGCTCCTGCGTCTGCAGCTTGTTCCGCTCGCGGTCGATGTCGCGCATGGTGCGGTCAAGCCCACGCTTGTACTTCCGCATCGCCTCCTGCGGCGTTTCGCGGTGGAAGAGGTCTCTTAGAAACGACATGGCGACCGCCAAGATGTCTGCCTGCCCGCCACCGCCAAATTAACAGGCTGCTGCCACGGCAGGTTGCGCCGGCTGCTCCGCTTCTCCTTTTCGCCGTCTACTCCTCTGCCGCCCTCCGCCCTCCGCTTGCTCCCCCTGCCTCTCTCTACCTCTCTCTCTCTCTCTCTGTGTGTGTGTGTGCGTGTGTGTGTGTGCGCCGTCCACTCGTCGTTTCCCTCCCACCGTGGGCTGAAGCGCGGGCGGCACGGCGCGGCGGCAAAACGCAGCAAAAAGCTACGAAGCAGCATAATTCAGCGCGGTTCGTAATGTCAAAAAAGAAAAAAAAAGCAAGCGGAGAGGCGACGGAAAACGCGGTTTGCGGGCATCCGCCGCGCTGCTGCGGCAACTGTCAGAGGGGCAGAAACGAAGAGGAAAGACATTTACTTTAGCTGCACGTGCACGTAAATTCCACGGAGGGTGGACGAAGGAGAAAGAGGGTGGTTCTGCGCCTCGCCGCCTGCTCCCCTTCCTTTTTACCCCTCGCTCCCGCGTTGAGTTTACTTCCGTCGCCTTTTATGCGTGTTTTACGCCGCTCCTTGCGCCCGGCCCATGTCTCTCGAAACGCCGGAAGAGACTACGGCAGGAGGTCGGCGATGCGCCGCGCGCAGACGACAAGATGCAGCGGGACGGTGCTGGCAAACCCCCGCGTGTACGGGACGGAGTAACGCGACGTCGTGTAGAAGGGCGCCGGTCCGCGTCGCACCGTGACGACGGTCACGACACGATCCGCGGCATCTTCCGAATCCTGCTGCTCGCGCGGCTGCGGCTTCGCCGCCTTCCACCAGTCCTTTGGCATCGTCGTTGGGCGCTCGCCCCGGACTGCACGCATCTCAGTGACCGTGACGCTGCCCTTCACCATCGCCGGGCAAAAGCCAGAGAGGCGCAGCTCCTTCAGCGCCCCCCTCGCGTGGCCAATCACCTCTCCGTCATCGGCGACGCCGACGAGGAGGACGCCGCCCAGCGTGGAGGCCATGGCGGCGACCGTGTGCCGGATCCGCTCCAGATTCACGATTGCGTGCCTCCGCTGCCCCGGCGCCGCGTCGTCGGGACCGTCCCGCCGCCACTTGTCGATCTTCGCCTTGAACTCGACGCACGTCCCCTCCAGCAGCGATGGAATCTCCTGCGGTGACGCCACCGTCACAGGCGACCGACCCTCCCGCCCGCGCAACTTTTTCATGTGAACCGAGACGGTGTCGGTGACCGCAGTGAACAGCCGCGCCTCGGCACTGTTGGCAGACGTCCCCATGTATTTACTGTAGCCCCGCAGAAACCGCGCACAACTTGCACGCACAATCTGCAGTAAGTCCAAATATGTCGAAAGCGACTCCAGCAAATTTGTTTGATCCTCCACGGCGGTGCAGGAAAGAACGGCGGCATCCTCAAAGGCAAGCGAAAGCGAGGCCGGGCCGCCGAGCAGCGTGCGCTGCTGCTTGCAGTACACCTTGTGCGCCCGCAGTACCACCCGCACGCACTGATCTGGCTGGAGACGATTTAGCGGTCCCACATCGTGTGCCACTAACTCTTCTTCGTTTAAAAAAAGCACGAAACCACCTGTTGCGCACTCGCTCCTCTCGCGCTTTCGTGTGAGCGTTGCCGCCGCTTCCGCCAGCAGCGATGGCACGCCCACACGGCTGACGAGCGACCACTGCGGCAAGGCCTGCCCGTCCTGGAGAAACGGCACCGCGACGTACGCGTAGCGCGGCGTGAGCGCCACAATGAGCCCGATAAATTCCATTCCAAAGGCATCCGCGTGAAGAAGGCGTCTTTCCTTGAGGCGTGCGGCGACGTCGAGGACGGTCTCGCTGCTCGCACCACTGCGCATACACCCAACTGTCTCGGTAGGAACCTTGACAGGCCTTTGCTCTGCAGGATACCAACCGCCCTCGTTGAAGATGCGGGCCGTCATCCACGCAGCCTTCCTCCAACGACGCCGCATGAGCGCCGCCGCATCCTCGTCACCCCCGCACTCTCCCCTCGCCGCCGCTGCATCAACAACAGGGGCATCGTCACTGCTTGTGGCGTCGGCCGGTGTCGTCCGCGGCGGCGGACATTTGCCCTCCACCCGATGGGGCACCGTGGCGGCGGACGAGTACCGCGCAGAGGGCGTAAGGCGCAGGCGCACCACACGTGCTCCGTCCTCCAGGAGGAACTCCGGCGGGGCCTGCGTGTACTGCAGCGGGTCAAGCGGCGGGTACACGCGCGACACGGCGCGGTCAAGGCACAGCAGGAGCACGTCCTTTTCCCGCCGGCTCCACCCCGCGTGCGACTCAGTCGAGTTGTGCAGGAGCCGCAGCCGAATCGTGGCGACGGCCAGCCCCTCACGGCAGTTCGCCGCCGCTGCGAGGAGGCGGGCCACATTCACTTCCGTTGCGGCGGCAGATACGTCGCCAACGTCGCCTTCAAGCATGCGGGAGCCCTGACACCCTCGTCGCAGGCACCACCCAAAGACAAAGTCTACGGCCCTTCACAAGCAGAGAGGAGACGGAGAAGCAGCACAGAAGAAGAGGGGCAAGACGACATTGGCCCGCGATCTAAGAAATCAAGAGATGATGCGGGTGGTGGCGGGGGGCACATGGAGAGCAGAAGAGTCTGAGAAAAGCGGCCTTCCGCGTTCGAACGGGGAAGGCTGTCTGCGGAAATCCTGTTACGACGTAGAAGCAATAAACCGAGAGACGGCTCAGGCACGGAGAACCCGCCCCACGACGTGAAAGAGTGATGCGGCAGGAGTCGTAGAACGACACGGCAAAAACACAGCCAGGCCACCAGAAAGGCGCAGGACACAAGACGCACACACACACACACACAAAAGGGGCCGTGAAACGCGTTTTTTTTTCTCTTCGTGCCTGCGGGAATCTGTGAGACTTTCATAGGACGGCGCGTAAGCGGCAACAGGGGCGAACCCACGACAACCCCAGAAGCAAAGTGCTCCGTCAAGATATATACAAATTTTGTGTCGGTCTCTGACTCCTGTTATTTATTCGTTTTTTTTTTTTGCTTTTTCCATTTTTTTTATTTTGTTTTTGTTTGCGCGCCGCATGCAGACTTCTGCGCGCCGACCCCAATCGTCTGCCGTACTTCCCCCTCACGCGCCGGGGCCGGCCGGTGCACCGTCTCGGTGCAGGGACGATGGGGCGCGCCCCGCATCTCCGCCTCGGCTACTAGCGGAAGGCCATCAACCACGCCGTCGCAGTCGCCACGCTACAGGCAGAGAGCACAGACACAATAATCGGCAAAAGGGAAACACGAACTCAAAGGGCAACCAACATTTATGCTGAGGAACGGGGCTGGAGAAAAGAAAAACAAAGGGCAGTGACAAAATCAACAACGAAAACGAGTGGGGGGCCAGAAGTGCAAAGCCCAGAAGAAGAAAAAAGGTCTCTGCGCTTCAAAAGGGTACAATTTGTGTGTAAATGTGTGTACAACTCGTATCCGACTGCTCTCAGAGAAATCCCGAGGAAAATGTATCCTTCGTTTCGAGATAGCGTTTCAGGCGGCACTTGGCGTAGAACAGGAAGTCCACCTCCAACGCAGACACCGCCTCCTGGAGCAAAGCCCAAATGCCCCACGAGAGATGCGAGGCCAGCGTAAGAAGTTTGACAAGCCGCACCCAATGAGCAATCATTTCCTCTTCTCCCTCATCGTCGACCTCAGAGAGGAAGAAGACCTTCTCCCCGGGAATGATCTCCTCCAGCTGCATGCCACGTGCACGCTCACGATGTCTATGGAGCTCCGCACGCATTGCCTTTCTGTAGAGCCCTATGAAGCTCGACATTTCCGCATCAGAAGGAAAGTAATGGTCATAGTCGCACTCCAACCCTGCGTATTCGTTAAAGTGGTTGGCAATGTCGAAGAGAAAGTAGTTCCGCTTCACGTAATCGAAATCAATTATTGTAAGAGCCCCGCTCTCGAGGTGGCGCATGATGTTCGCGCCGAGGAGGTCGTTGTGGCAGACGCTTTCCCCGAGAACAGAGGCGTGGCGGAGCAGCAGTCGCTGCACCCACGACGCCTCCCTCTCCAGTTGCGTGGCAACCCCCTCGTACTCCGCCCGCTTCCCCGCGCACACCTTGCCGAGCACCCCCTCCGACAGCATTTGCTCCGCCCACCGCGTCAGCGCGTGCAGGGTGTAATTCTCCTCCCGATCGAATCGGCACACGTCGGACACCGCGGCATGCCTGCCCCCGAGGGTGGGGCCCACGTCGTTCCAGTACGCCCGCTCCTCCGCCGAGAGTTGCGGGTCGTGGTGGTCGCACCTGGCGCCTAGTGTGGCCCGCACCTGGAACGCTGCAACCTCGCAGGCCATCTTACTCGCCTCCTGCGCGAGCTCCGTGAACGACAGCGCCCGGTAGCGGTTGAGGAAGCGGTAGACGAGGAAGTTTCTGCCACGCACGTAGGTGGGGATGAAGAAGGACTGGTAGAAGAACTCACTCTCGCGCGTGATGACGCGCTCCGTCTCCCTCCCAAAGACACGCACAACGACCGAGTGTGTGTCGTCGGCGGGGTGGTACACGCGGAACAATTCATTCGTGATGCCGCCCGAGAGACGCTCCACGCAGAGCTCCTCCGCCGCCGCGCCTGCGCCGGGCACACGGGAGCCATTCCCATCGCTGCTGCTGCTGCCACCGCGAGCCTCACTAAAACCGGGGCGCCCAAACGCCGCCGGGGGCGACCCGGCCGGAAACAAGACATCCGGACAGAGCATCAGCACAATGTCGACGATGGCCTCACGACGCGCGGCGGCGTCGTCCGGAATGGCGCGTTGCGTCAACTGCACCCCCGTCTGCTTCACCCCGTTCGACGGCAGCGAGGGGCGTTCACCTTTCAGCTGCATCTTCTCTACCCGCCACGCACGCACCAGGGCACCCACGGAAGCAAAAACACAGATGTAAGCTCATCGCCCATACCACAAGGACACACACAAAAAAAAAAAACAACTGCAGCCTGAGCCGCGCAACCACACAATACGAACAAAACATATAACAAGAATAATACAAACGAACAGCCCCATAACGCATAAAAAAAACACCAACAAAAAAAATCGCAGCACACACAAGCCCAAGAAGCAGCTACACCGGCAATTCAAGAACAGCAAAAAAAAAATCATATTACTCACAATATTCGCCTCTGCCCACAGCAACAGACGCCAAAGGCAGGAGCGCCAGCTGCAGTCGCGGCCGCGCCGCACGCACCCCATTGAGGGATGCTGCTGCCGCCGCTGTTTGCCTTGCCAAGCGAGACGTCAGCAATGACGCCCTTAGCTGGCAGCGCATTGGCGCTGGCGTTCGACAGAGTACCCCGTTGGGCGGTGGGCATCACTCCGCCGCCAGGACGTGCCTCCGCCCCACCTCCGCTGCCCACAGGATCGGTTGCGTCTCCAGCCTTGCCGGGTCTCACGTCCAAACCTTCGACAGGGGAATGAACTCACCCGAGCTGTGACATTGAAGAGTG